TTGTATCAAAAATAGTGGATTTATTTGATTGTTTTCTGCTTAACGTCCAGTGGCAAATATTCCATGCGTATTAGAGCCATTGTGTTAGAAAATCTAATCGTAAAAATATTGCATATTTGTGCATTTTTGGTATTTCCTGAATATAGAAAGAAAGAATTCAATAGAAACGCAGACACGCAGACACGCACTTGCTTCAAATGTGTTTTCTGGAATAAAACCACTATGCAATGTTAAACATTTATAGCTATTTTGTCTGAAGTTCAAATAAAGTGGTAGTCATTTCATAGAAAAACTATACCTTATCCTGACTTGACTGTGCTGAAAAACTCAACATATCTTAAATTGCATAATAGAGCGCACTGGTTCCCGAAAGTTGGGTAGTATAAAAACAGGTACTTCTGATCTGAGCAACAGGGCAAATATGCCCCCTATCATAATTTCATATATTTATTTTATTATTCATGAGAAACTTTCATCAAGGGTTCTACAGTGATAACAAGACGTGGAGGAGCCTTTCATTTGATACCAGTTAATTGTCCATTTTCTTTTACTTCTGGACAAAGTTACAGCTATGCGTAGGAACTATTTTATTTAACATATGTACTACTTTCTTTTATGTTCTTTGTGACCGAGCCCGAATTATATACCTTCTGTGTGTCAAGCGAAAACTAAAGACATTAACGCACACACAATTTTGGGAAATTAGCGCAGCTCTACGTAAGTCTTACTTATTTTCTAGGGACGAAAAGAAATAAGCAAAAACTAAACGAAGAGGAAAATGACCAAATAAAAAACAATTCTCCTTCTTTCGTGATTAAATTATTTTATATCAGCAATAGTCAGACTCTTTTTTGAAATGGTTTTTTTTTTTTTTTTTTTTTTTTTTTTTTCATTAGACGATTGGCTAAATTTACTTTCTCTCTGCATGATCAACTAAGTGGATTGTTTCTCCACAGTTTCGTTACAACCTGGTACCATACTGATGTCAACTTCGACTTACGACTTTTTATCCATCACGGAATGGACTCTGACTTCCACTGAAAACAGACTTTAGCAATTTTAATCGTTTACGATGAAATTATGCTGTTTCTTTGTCTGTTGCCGATATCATACTGTGATACAAAATGGTCATCTTCTCAGATTTACGGCATTGCACACCACTGTAACTCGCCTATTTTACGGAGGCCTGAGCTGAAGAAAATCCCGCGCAAAAATTCAAAGTTTTATTGCTAACATACTTTACTTTAAAACCGTCATAATTAAAACTCCACCCCTTCCACGTGAAAAGTGGTGTATATTTGAACTGAGCATCCAATAAAGTAAAAACAGCGAATTTCGTACCGTTCAGTATTTTGTTGTTATATATTGGTGTATATCTCTTGCATCTCCTTTTATTCATATTTACGTTTTATGTGTCAAAAAGTTGTTACTTATTTACTAAACATTGAAAATATTTCGCATTTCATAGCTGGTGTTTATCATTTGAAACGTCTGTTTCACGGCACCCCCCTTTTCTTAACAAAACTAAAATACCAAAACAATGCAAGCAGCTAAATTAAAACAAAAACACAAAAACAAAATCGTTTACCATACATAACACGTAACAAAATAAGCCACTTCTTTTAGAGGTTAGCATACGTTGTAATGGGTTTGAAACCATTATATAGTACACAATTTGCAAAACCTCCTCAGACAAGGTATGGGAAAAATCTGGAATGTTATATACGTATTATATACGTTTGCAGGGTTTTCGCCATTTTCGTGTATTTTGAAGTTGTGATCTGCACAAATTAAAATTGAATAGTCCCAAAAAATTTTAAACAACGACTCAATCATAAAATTTTTCTTTATCATGGCTTTTTCCTGATAACAGACACAAATTTTGCAAAACTTTGAATATTATTATACCTTTTTCATGAAATAATTTTTACATATAAGTTTGCACTGCAAGATTTGTCATCTACCCGCAATCTAGTAATAAAAGTCTAGATCTGTTGGGAACTTAGTCCTCGACGGGACAGAGTGCAACCCGTACGTACGTTGAGGCGACGGGATTCAATCTTAGAATCTACAAGTTCTATATCTCTCCTTGTATTGTTGTGAGATTAGAGGGGGCTGGTAAAGATATATAAGAAAAACGTTAATATATTAACTCCGTTACATTTTCTTAAATGTATGTTGTGTGTGTCCCACGTCGGGGACGTTGTCGTTAACGGTAGTATGTCATATCGTAATGGTAATTCCCGCCTACATATATAGAATTGAGTGTTAATAGCAGATCTTTGATTGTTTCTGTTGAATTCATACATATATTTGGTGGAATCGAGACAATTAAGAGCGAGACATATTGACAATGTGTGGTCACCTGTCTATTTGTTGAAGACTATATGTCTGCATCAAGATGGTTTTTTTTTATTTTTTCTGTCGTTGGGCTGCTGTTCCATTGACGTATAACCCACATCTGTTTCTCCTTCTATTTTACACTTTATTGACTGCTGAAAAAAATATAAATCTGATAGCACTTAAGTGATATATTGTTAGGACACCTGTCTATTGTTGAAGATTACACGTCTCCCTTTAGATGTCTTTTGGTTATTTCTGTAGTTGGGTTGCTGTTGACGTATACCTCACATCTCTTTTTATTCATGCGGCACTTAATTATTCGTGTTCACTGATGGCCGAAAAAAATCATATAAATCTGATCGGCTAAGCACTGCCAGTTTTTGTTTGTATCAAAAAATGGATTCATATGATTGTTTTTTGGTTATTGTCCAGTGGCAAATATTCCATGCGTATTAGAGCCATTGTGTTAGAAAATCTAATCGTAAAGATATTGCATATTTGACTAGTCTACTTAAACATTTGCATTTTTTGGTATTTTCTGATTGGAGAAAGAAAGAATTCTGCAGAAACGCAGACACCCACTTGCTTAAAATGTGTTTTCTGGAATAAAACCAATATGCAATGTTAAGCATTTATAGCTATTTTGTCATAAGTTCAAATAAAGTGGTAGTTATTTCATAGCAAAATTATACTTATCCTGACTTGACTGTGCTAAAAAACTCAACATATCTTTAATTGCATAATAGGGAGCACTGGTTCCCGAAAGTTGGGTAGTATAAATACAGGTACTTCTGATCTGTTTTTTTTTATTTTTATTTATTTCTGTCTTTTGGCTGAGTTTCCATTGACGTATAATAGACATCTGATTCTCCTTCTATTTCACACTTAATTGTCCGTGTATACTGCTGGCTGTAAAATATAAATCGGATAGCAGTTTGTTCTTATGATGTACGGTTACACCACTGTTTCATGATAGGGGAAGGATTTGCGCCCACATACATGTTTTACCCCGCCACGTTCTGTATGTGCCTGTCCTAAGTCAGGTGCCTGTAAATCAGTGGTTGTGGTTTATTGATGTTTATCATATTTGTTTTTCTTTTATTGTTTTGTACATAAATCAACTGAAGCTACAAAGCAGAAAAAAACATCTAACAAAAACACAGATTGGATGTGGCAGGGAATTTATACATCCCTCACAACAAAAAAGACACAATATAATAGAAGATGTAGAATGGCATATAACAGTGTTTTAAAACCATATTTCTGTTGCAATGTTTAATTACTTGATTCCTCTTACATTTTTTCTTTAAATCTTGGTAAATTTTGACTACTGTATGTTTTGACCTTTATTTTAACTTATGCTTGAGAAACACAGGTAAATCTTGTGCATTATATAATATTGAAGCTTTTGAATAGATATGTTTGGAAGCATTACATTTTTATTGAACACCCGTATTGTCCGTAAAACTGTTAACCGGAATAACTAGTCGACTCTTACAATGTCTTAATGTGCTTGCAGTAAATCAGCTACTTTGGTCGGAGTAGTTGTTCGTTTTTGTTTTTTTTTAGAAATGGGTTGATGTCGTCTATGTTGAATTATTGACAACTTGTTATATGGACATTCTAGTTACGAGACCAATTAGTAAATCTGCTTTAATTTGACCAAACAAGAATATTTACAAAATAGTAAACATTATGACATATTTTGCCCTCATATTTTCACTGTGTCGTTGATTGTTGTTTCATGTATGTCCCGTCATCTCAATCATTCAGCTTCATTACTTTTAGTTTAAAGACTGAAACTCAGTAGTTAATAAATGTATGAATATCAATATTCATAAATTCTTTTGTATACATAAATTAGAGTACAGAAGTCAAAGAATAGAAATATTTAATGATATTATTGATACTTCAACCTTGATTACAAAGACTATACAAAATATACACCAAGAGTTGTGACAATTGTTTCAAAACTTCAGATCCTATTCCACCCATAACTGTCTACTTGTATCAATCTTATATGGATTAATGAATAATAATTGCCTGATCCTTCTTAACGTTACATGTCAGTGTTACACATACAGAGTGATTGATCAAATTAGCCACTGCCCCACTTTTCCTTCCATTCATTTCCTTAATGTTCAGTAAAAAAATGCTACTTTTTAAAAATAAATATATACAAATTCCTTTGTATACAGATATATAATATATATATAATTTGATTTATTTGTACAATAAAAAATAAAGTATTTATGGGTGTGTTTTTTTTATTAAAAGACTTCTTTACAACATGAAACTTGCCATCTGTGTTTTCTTTCATTTACACCAGAATCACATCCTTGCTCTGACAAGACATGTAAAGCATGATTGATAACATCATACACTATAACATAACCTACCGATGTTGATACTACATTGTATATCTGTAGGATTAAGCAGTTCTATTTCTCCTGTAAACAGACTGATATGAGTCCTATCATTCAAAGACAGGAGAACATAATTATTGTTTGTTATTGACATGTCATAAACATAACCGACATATCCTGACCCGTTTTGATTGGTTCACAGATGTTTATTTTTACGCAGAGTATGTATACTAGTAATCAATCTAATTAAAATATAGAGCTCTGATTTCGTTATCCTCATAAGAGCCTATATATGCGAGTTAATATGGATCAGAATCTTAATCAGATTGACTAGAATTATAGATATAAGCTGTCTTGCTGTCTAGTATTAGCACTCTATGCACTTTGTTCTGATCTGATATACTGTTTATTTTAAAAAGACATTATATAAATTACATAAAGATTAGAATCATCTAATCGTTTCACACCTAATAGAATCACACCCCACCGATTACTGTCCACTGGTGCTATTATTCATCGTGAATGGATGAATAATTTATTGACCCTTCATTACTTTCCATGTCAAAAGCTATATATCCCCATTCCCAAACAGTTTCAATCATCCACTTCCAAACTTCTTCCCTTCATTTCCTTTACTTAACTTTGGGTAAAAATATTGATTCTTATTTAATTTATAAGCTCCTTTATACACCAATCAAATTAGAAAATAAGCCACTTGCATTGGAGTAATTTTATGATATGTACCAATGCCACACAAATACTCAGACATATATGTAAACACAACTTAATTGTTTTATCAGAAATTGAAATATGCATTGATGATTTCATTAATTCAATTTGGATTTAATGACATCTTCACAACATGTAGTTTGGCATCTGTTCTTTGTTCATTTCCAGAATAGCATCCCACCCATAGCTGTCCTTTGGTATCAATATTCAGTGACACTGGATAAGTAATTCCCTGATCCTTCATTATTTTGTATATCAGTAAATCTCCCTCCCTTGATAGGATATGTAAGGCATGGTTGATAACATCAGACACTATAACCAGACCTACTGATGTTGTTACTATATCTGTAGGATTAAACAGTTTATCCCCTGAATTAATCTGAGGATTTCCCTGATAGGTCCACTTAATCTGTCCCTCCCTATCCAGAACCACCACCTTACCAGTTTTATAAGATGTTTTGTCTATAACCAGTATATCTCTGTTAACATTAGATTTAATTTTAGCTGGGAAAGTAAATAGTCTCTGTTTATTTTTATCATACTCATATGATTGTTTTTGTTTCCCATCCATCCCAAAGATTATAATTTTCCTACAACTTTTGTCTGTTAGGTTGTAATTAACACCCCATCTCTCCCTGACACCAAGTATAACCTCATTTTGTTTAGTGAAATGTATACCAAGTGGTATCATTGATGGAACAGAAAGGAAAGGTTTTATTTCTCCTGTCTTTGTTGTTAACAGACAGACATCAAAACCGTCAGACAAAGACAGAAGAACATCATTACTGCTTGTGATTGACATATCATTAACATTAACTGACATATCCTTTACCGCTTTGATAGTGTCATCAATGTTAATTTTATGCAGAAAAGTTGTCATGTGATTAGAAATACAAGCTGTCGTGTCGTCTATCATCAACACTCTATACACCATTTTCTGATCTGTAGTATAACTCTTGATTACGTATAAGTTTACTTGTGGCAATCCTTTTGGTAGTTTGGTTTTATGAAGAGATCCAAAAAAGTTGGTAGCGGTCTTCAATTTTATAGGAATGAACTCTTTGGTCTGCTTAAGAAATTCCCTGAATGATAGATCTGGAATATCTTTTGCACTACATTCTGAATGTGCACTGAACTTTAACACTTGTTTTGCGTGATTTGATTCTAAAACTTCCTGTATTTTACTTTGCTTATTCAGCAAAGTTTCCTTAATGTTCTCGTTTTGCCTTTCTTTATATGTTATTGAATTTTCGATTCTTTTCTTTTCGTTTTCCAGTTGATCTCGAAGTGCTTTAGCATATTCATGATATTTACTGACTTCATCTTCGATCATCTGTTCTTGTTGATAAATCTTTTGAACAGATTCATTAAAACATTTGTTGTATTTTGTTTTAAAATCTTTTAACTTTACTGTCTTCTATTTCACAAAGTGTGAATGCTTTAGAAAATCCTGATGCTAATTCTTTGAGTTTGTTCATTCTTTCATTGTACACTAAATCAACTGAATCCAAGTCATGTTTTTTATGGGAAGCAGTTATACACTCTGGACACACTAAGTAGTCACATGTTCTGCAAAACATGCAATTCAACTTGCTCCTGTGAATATTACATGGAATATTGTCAGTTATAGTGGTGTGTTCCTTTTCTATTTTAGCTTCTGATCTTTTGACATAATTAATGTCATGGGTAATTGAGGTTTGAAGTTTCAAATGAATTATTTTACAATGTTCGCACATAAGTGTATTGCATTGTAAGCATTTCCAGTTAACGTTTGCATCTGTTTCACAAAAAGTGCATTGTTCAGGAATTTGGGTTCGCCTTATGGTTTTGGAAAATTCCATCTTGATTTACAATAGGAGCTGCAATGTATAAAAGATATAGATATAGGTTTTTGATGTGATTCTGTGAAGTACATTTTTTTGTTGTTAACACTGATATGCATAGAATAGAAAATAGAAAACAAAATCATTACTAGATGTATTTTCGGTGGTTTTTGAACTTCAGTGATCAATATATGCCATTAGGTGTAAAAGAAACTCGTTTGTCAACTCATAACATATAGAATGGAGCCTACCAAAGTCTTTTATAATAAAAAGTTTTGAAATCTGTGCCTATAGATATGTCCGAAGACCAATAAACTTGCATGAAGATCGTTATCGACTTTGGAAAAAATCGCCCAATTTTTACTTCTTTTACCAATGATAAAACAAAAACTGACAACTGATTTAGATGAAATTTCATGAAAATTTAACAAGATTTTTTTAGTTAAAATCATCCCTTCGACATTTTACAGACGCCATCACGAGTTGATTGACAGTTTACAAATAAGTCAAATAGCTGAAATTGTCGGACGACTCTATATACGTATATACGTGTATGACTTATTGTCCATAAATGATTTTATTTGATTTTTGTTTTTGTTTTTGCTTAATATGAAAACTGCGAAAGATAAAGATAAGTTGCAACAATGATCAGAAGGACAATATCTACAAATTGGCCGCATGACTGTAATCTTTCCTTAGTTCCTTATTTTTGTTATTGCTCTTAATGACTATTGTTAGCAGTTGTCTGCATTTTTTTGGCTAGCATCTTGAAAACTATGGTAGATATGGAGATACTTTAGATATATAAAAATGATCAACCAGATAAGATCAACAAATGTTGCAACATGGTTTAAAAGTTAATAATGTTTATATGATTTGCATATTAGGGAATACGTTTGTATGATTAGTCGAGAGGGCTGACGGTAGTGGCTCTTGAAGTTGTTTATTTTTCGATAGACGACGTTGACGTAACTACTTTTTGTAACCAATGTAAACAAGATGGCGGCGATAATAACACAAACCGGCTCGACGTTAAAGATATTTATTTTCACTTCGCGTTCATCGTTAAATTAAATAATAAACACAAAACATGCATTTGATAAAAAGATATTTTTGTGGTTTATTTTTTATCAGATAGCAAATTTTATGGAGTACATTTTTTTTTGGCGTTACATTGAAGGGTAGTTTATACCAGGAGAATTTCTATTATATTTTTCAAGATGATTGTCAAAAATGCAAAATCAGGTGAATTTAAGGGCAAAAAATCCTACAAGGGGTCAACTTGTTCTTTGCCTGTTATAGTTTTTGTAATTATAGCCATAAACGCCGAAAATTATTGAAAATCATCATAAAAGGGTAGTAACTCGATCTCATAAGAGGCATAAATGTGCATCATTTTATGGAGTACTTTTTATGGAGTACATTTATTCATGCGCCAAGACAATTCAATGACACAAATATACAATTTACATGTGATAGAGGTTACGAATAGGAAATTAACTTCCATATATCCAATTTTAAAGAATTATAAGGATAAAACGCATTTTTAAAGGAATTTATTGGTGTATAAACTGGACCAAGTCACTCACAAACAAATAAAAGTCCGAATTGGTCTAGTTTATACACCAATAAATTCCTTTAAAAAGTCGTTTAATCCTATAGTAAATGTCTTCTTTATGAGTTATTGCCCTTCAATAACCATTCTTACTCACTTTTGTTTTCTTGACGAAACCTATAGATAATAGAAACTATAAACGTCTTAAATAAACAGCAAGACAATATCTAAAACAGATTTAGATTAGTGTTGAGCGCCTAAAAACATGTTGAACCCTAAACCATATATCCCAGTTTTTGGTCAGTGGCGATCAATGGTTGTGTCATATTTGTTCTTCATTCATTGTTTTAGCAAAAATCAGATCGTTGGTTTTCTTGTTTGATCTTTTTTCAAATTTTGTCATGTCAGGGCATTCGATAGCTTAAATCGTCAGTTGCCTCTTATGAGGAGTTACTACCCTTTTATGATGATTTTCAATAAGTTTCGGCGTTTATGGCTATAATTACGAACACTATAACAGGCAAAGAACAAGTTGACCACTTGTAGGAGTTTTTGCCATTAAATTCACCTGATATTGCATTTTTGACAATTATCTTGAAAAATATAATAGAAATTCTCCTGGTATTAACTACCCATCAATGTAGACATAAAACCAATACTTATACCAAATATACAAGTTTATATTTGACACTGCTTTATCAAATATATGAATATAAACGCAATAAAAGGCTAATAAATACCAAAGACTTTGTAAAATGGATGGTCGCACGACAACGCCGATGCTATATTTAATATAAAATAAACATTATTCAAACACATATCTACATATATAATATATAATTCAAACATTAGTATCAAACAAAAAACTCTTCAAATATAAAGCTGAATTAACTTCAACCAGAAGTAAAATTTACCGAGAAAATTTCCACTGTTCAGATTGACGGTGTCGTGCTGAATGATTACATAGGAAATAAAAAACCGCGAAAATAATAATGAAGCGGGAAAACCTAACGCCCTCAATGCTACATATGATGAAAACACCCAGGAGAAATCAATCTAGTCTTATGCACTGCCCGTTTAAACGAATGAAATTACAATTATAAACAGCAAAAATAATAACAAATGCTAGATTCTTAAATATGTCAATATGATCAAAATTGTGACTCAGCATTTGATAAGAGTTGGTTCCCTTAAATGATAATTTCCCAGGTATCCATGTTTTGCATGTATAGCTATTCGCTTGAATACAATAGACATAGATAAACTGTGATTAGCAACAATTAACAACAAGATAAGAGCTATAAATACTTGTGAACATATTGGAGTTTGTTATCGACACCTCCCTTAAATGACAAAACGAATTTTGACAATTGTAGTATTTTCCGCAATTATTTCTAGTTGAAAACTATAATTGAGAAAAATTATATCAAGCAAAAAATTATGAGTAAGACAAGATATACAAGAAAACAAAGCAATTGAAATAACCAATTGTTTCCTTTTTAGGGAATAACTTGAAAAAATATTTTGAGTTTGGATCTGGATTATATTTTGTCACAATCTTAATTAGTGTGTAAAAGATTGCTACCACAGTTGCTAATGATTTATATATTAATATTTTGTAAGGTGAGTTATTCAGACTCTCCCGAGCTTTTCGTTTGTTAAAGGACTAATATGATTTATGAAAATCAACTAACCGTATTCTAAATAATGATACAGTGTAAAGTGTCATTGAGCAATAAACAACAACTTCTAATTATGTACGTTTCAGCAATAAATTTTATAAACAGTTTGTAGGTATTTCTATTGGCACCAATTGCACCCCTAAATATTAAACTATTTCTTTATTGTTATGACTACAGTGTAATGCCTTAAATAGGATATGTCTGTTTAAATTCCCATTTAGCAAGAATTTCCTAATAAAACTGTGGAAATTAAAATTTTCCCAAGGGAATGTAATTTTAATAAATATGATATTAAGAGCAATAATAGTTCTTTTCTATACATTTCAGTTACATTGGCAATCGTAAAGATTTTCCTTGTTGTATAATAGAAAAAAACTCAAAGATACCAGGCTTATAATTTTTTACGCCAGACGCGCGTTTCGTCTACAAAAGACTCATCAGTGACGCTCGAACATTTCACTCTAAAAAATAATTTTGAACACTATATTTTTTATTTATATTTATTTTTTTACAGATGTTTTAACAGTGCTAGATTTGCTATTCCTATATGTAATATCACAAATAATAAGTCATCTTCCCTTACTCAAAAGACACAATATGAACATCAGTCTCCATATTTTTTTAAGAGAAACTTTTACCTGGTATATGATTAGTGAATTATATATATCAAGATGTTTATGAAATCTGAATCAAAAATTATACCGGTTAAATAAAAATTAAGTAAAGGTGCACACTTTTTCAGCCATACGTATCTCAAGTTTCCTAAGATGATTGCTAAATAAGAAGTCAATGACGAAATGTTTGTTCATGGCTTCATGCCCTAGCAAAACAGCGTGAACATTCATAACTGATTTACAATAGCAAGCTCAAAAATAATTTTCCTCTCAGTTTTTGTTTTGGTATGCTCAAAGATTACAAGTTGCAATTTACCTTCGTAGATATAGACATAGGCAAGGTATAATTCAGTGTACACAGAGTATTGAGATATGATTGCACAAGTCGTAAAGGTAAAATTGCTGAATTGAACCTTAGAAAACTTTAAAAACAAATTAAATGAACCCAATTGTAATTAAATACCGTTCAGTGACAAAAAGTATATCTGATCCATACACCTAACCATGTTCATTATGTATAACTTTAAATGAAAAGGATAATATCTGATCTATATACCTTAGCCAGTAAATATATTATCTATTGATGATATTTCTGCTTTTATAGCAGTAACCAAATCCGTTATTGTATATTATTTGATTTTTTGGTAAAGGTGTATGATATACATATTATCTTTTAGCCAGGAGGGTTAAAAAAAAAAGGATTTTTCTTTTCTTCTACATTAATTATTTGCAAATGATAAGTACCAGATTGAGATTTTATCACGGAATTAGTTCACTATATTCATATTTTCTAACTGTTGTTTGAAGGATGTTCGCTACTCTTGTTTTTTTACTTTTTGTCATATATTCGGAATCCTCTAGTTTTATCCATGTAGTGCTAATAAAAATTTTGCCCTCTTACCCCTACTTTTCTTTTCATAATTCTACTAACAAGTGAAATGACATAAGAAGGGAGTCAACTCCGTGCACAAAAAACGTATTTATGTGAATTAAACACAAACATAAAAGTTGTTTGTTTATCTTTAAGTCTAAAAATGAAGCCCTTTCAAATGAACAAAACGAAGCAAATATCCTTCATTTCCTGGTAACTAATGAACCAGGTAAATAAACTTAGTCACTGTTGTATTAGGATGAATTTGTGTATCAATAAACTGTTTTAGTAAAGCCAGTGGAATTTTAAAAGTATAAATATTATAGAAATATGTAGTTTAGGTTAATGACAGGTATTGTTTCAAACGCAAAAAAAAAAAAAAAAACTATGGTGTTTGAACAATTAAAAGAAAATTTCAATTCAGCATTTCTATACCCTCTCTCTCTCTTGGAATACGTGATTCATTTCATTCACCTTGTATATTGGTCTATATATATTTGTACAACAAATGTTTTCATGACACACGCTTTTTATTCATTGTTTACATCACTGAGTCGATATCGCTGCTGGTGGACTATCAGTCCACGAGGGTATCATCAGCTCGGTATTCAGAACTTTGGTACTGACATAATTCATACCAAATTAATTGTTTGTTTATAAATATTGAAAACTATTAAAAAGCTAAGGTTTAAAATCACGCAGGCAAAGTTGGCCTTAGAAGGATTTGGCCGTTATTTTCAGGTCCTTTTTGGTCATATAGCTCATTAACTGTTTCGGTTCTTATACCTCCTTGGCTTTAAGATATTCGGTTTTGAGCCATCCTGATGAAGGTAAATCCAGAAACGAGCTTCAGACGCATGAAATTTATAAAGTTTTGTTTTCATTTTTTATAAAAAAAAAAATAGTAGTATAATAACATTTTGAATTAAAAGGAGGGCCAAAAAGTTTGCATTCTTACCTTCCCCTGTATTTTGTAAATATATATTCAAATGTGCCCTATGGTGTTCCGAATACAGATATATTGTGGCAATGTTGACAAGCTTTCATGAAATAGAAATATATTTTGGGTGCAAAAACACCTGTAATATTGCATGACATATTGTATGTTGTAAGTCTAAAGATAAAGACCTTATGCTGACCTCTAGATGTCTTTTGGTTATTTTTGTCATTGCGTTGCTGTCTTAATCATCTGAACGAAATATCTCCATTCATTAATGATTTGAATGTTTGACAAATTTACATTGAAGTCATATTGTATGATTATACTGTATGATTTTGTCCAATTTGCAAAATCTGTTTTAAATCCAAATATTGAGAAGTCCAGATTGAGGTGAATTATTCTTGCTTTAACTCAAGATTTATATTTATATTTACCAATGCAAAAACCTCGCATTTAGAAATTCTTTCATGAAAGTGTGTTGGTTATGTAAAACCAATACAAAAAATTATCAAAAGAATATCAAACATATTGGACAATACAACAAACTACAGCGACATCAGCATACCAGAAAAGAGATATTAACTGGATGAACTTCCCTTTTTTATGCTAGCGTTCCATGTATCTTATTAATAAATGTAAAAAATAAATAAAATTACTCTTACCTTCATAATTAAGTACCCTGGCATCAAAATAAAAATCTTCTTTATTGCAGTTGAAAATTGTATCGTCCACTTAAAGGTTGCTCCCTAAATATATGATCCTTCTCTTGTTCAGAACCTGGATGTACCAGTCGTCTTAAAATATAAACAGTATTTGAAATTGGGTCACTGGGATTTAACAACACAATAGGTATTTCCAGGAAAAACTAAATTAATAGAATATGACATTTTAGAAAATAGCTTTTCAAATGAAACATGATTCAACAATGTTTTTACCTGATATAGTTTTCCTTTTAATCAATATAACTGAAAAAAATCAGGTGGTGAAAGAAAAGTATAAAATAGAGTTTTCACGATGAAGTCTCTGAATCATTAAAAAGAAATCAAGATCAACTGGTGTATGCTTTATAGAAACTAGGCGAAAAACACCTCATAAAAATTGTGAATATCCAACTCCTCTGCCTTTTAAAATATAAAGTTCTATGCGAATAGTATATGCAATTGCTACCACGTCTGTAACGCAAGTATCCTTATGTCTAGGGAGAAACTATGATTATGAAAAAAAACCACAGATACAGAGACAAAACATGAATGCAGATATGATTCATAAAAAAAATTATAAAATCTCACAAGTTTGGCCTTGATCATACAAAACCACTTATTGAATCAGACATAATGTTAAATTTGGCATATACATTCATTAGTCCTTAAGCATGAAATGTTAATTATAAGATAACTTTTGATTTTGATGTTGCTTATTTGAAAGGTGATTTTTCGGTTATGAATGATCTTCAATATTGGTGTCAAGCAGCAATTCACCCACTCACATTTAGAACATTTAAGGTCAAAATAGCCCTATTGTGACAAAAATAGTTCTTTTGATGTTGCTGTTTACTCAAACTAGAAAATATAGATTTACATGGAACTCTTTCTGAATGAAAAATATTTGTTGATCATTTTCAGGTCAAATTTACTTGTACATGAACTTACACCACAATTTTAGGTAGATATGCTAAATAGTATGCTAATTAAGATTTTCAGAAAATCAGAGTGTTATTTTCATAGTTGACATCTTCACCATAAGCCGATACTGAAACCGAAACAAAGGAGTGTTGAGTGAGTTGAAATTCGTATTTGTAAATGTAAGTGGTATTTAATTCAAATGAACTCAACATGTATCTTCATTTGTATCGTGCTAAAGCTACATATCACAACGATTATTACATGAAACATCAATTCACATGAATTTATGTTAATATGAAAGATTGTTATTTCAACCTTTACTGAATACACTTGTCACGTAATTTACTATTCAACTTGTCAGTATAACTTTATTCATGATGCACATTAATTATGAAGAACGTTACGTCGAGGGGAAAGTACTGTACCTATTTATAAAACTGGTACAATACCAATTCGACTTTGCCAATGAAGAGAACCTATGATTTTATATATTTTCGTTTGTCAAATGGGATTTCTACATTAACTCTTCATTTCTAAATTATTTGTTTTTGACAAGTGCGCGTTGATCATGATAATCACATCTTGATAACGTAACCTTCTTGAAGTTTGCCATGTAATAAGTGTTCAGATAGATATAAGATTTCTCAAACCAAAAGAAAATCACGAGGAATTGGTAATGTCTCCTCTGGACATATTTGGCTTGCATCTGTGTAATTCATTCCATTATTCTTGTGACCCTGGAAGCCAGATTCCAGATATCTTATTTTCATTTTTGTTCCCCTTGCGACACTTTGCATAGAAATACCAGGCGATCATCCGTCCGTCCGGTCTTGTTAGCGCTCTCACAGGTACAATTCTTGCCCGATTTTGTAAATACTTATACCATATATTTAAATCAACAATGTCTTCGACAAGTTCGAAAATCAGTGCCGATCAATTTTTTTTAAAAGAGTTATCCCCCTTGGAAACATTATTTATATGGAAAATAGCATCGTTAGCGCTCTCATGTACACAATTATTTCCAGACTTTTTATGAAACTTATATTGTACGTTTATATCATCAAGGTCTCCGACGAGTTCGAACATCAGTGCCGATCAATTATTTTTAAAAGAGTTATGCACCTTGAAAACATTAATCATATGGAAAATTGCATCGTTAACGCTCTCTTGTTTACAATTCTTGCCAGATTTGTTATGAAACTTATATTGTAGGTTTATATCAGCAATGTATCGAATGAGTTCAAAATCAGTGCCGATCAATTATTTCTAAAAGATTTATGGCCCTTAGAAAAATATTAATTATATGGAAAATTGCATTGTTAGTGCTCTCATGTATACAATTTTCCCAAGATTTGTATAAAACATATATAATAGGTTTATATTAGCATTGTCTCGGACACGTTCAAAAATCAGTGCCGATCAATTATTTTCTAAAGAATTGTGCGCCTTAGAAATATAAATGTTATGGAAATTTGCACTGTAAGCGCTCTCACATGTACAATTTTTGCCAAATTTAATCAAATTCTTATCAAAGGTTTATAACAACAATTTCTCGGATAATTTCGAAAGTAAGTGCCTATAAAATATTTAAATGAGCTATGCCCTTGGAAATATTTTTTTTTTAGTTATTGCCTTTGAACAGATGAAATATGTGCATCGCGAGGGACATTTGAACTCTTTTCTTTAATGCTACTAGTATCTATCATGACCATGGTATGAATGAAATGTAATTGATTATGTCAACTATATAACGAAACCTGATTTTCTTTATTTTCTACTTAAGCTGCATTTAAAAGATCGAACTATTTCTTCCAATTCCTGCCCATCATCTTTTAAAGTGTATTATCCTTCAGTTGAGGGCCATGTAATAATCGTTTTAAAAATCTGATGCAGAATTTGCCAAAGTTGATGGATAGCTTACTGCACTTAAGTTAACACTAAACACCAAAAGTTGTTGTTGAAATTAGGATAGCATTTTAATCATATTACAGGCATAAATATTTAATTCTGCCAACTTATAAGACCTGCTGCTTTATCCACCAGTCTTGTCCATTTAAGCGCTGTCGTGAGGATGTTTTTAACCTTTCACCCTATCAACTGACTATATTCCCATTTTTTATAGAACAGCCACGTACTTTATAATGGGGTAGGAGGTATACTGTTTTATCCAGATTCTCAATTTTTGAAGAAAATTGTATTGCCAAAGAAAAGAGAGAAAGCAATTATTCTGAATAGGTAGTAAAAATAATCTGCTTTTCCGCGGAACATATTTTAACAGAATTATTTGGTAATCAATACAAATAGTGTGTCTTCCAGGAAGTCTTTAACATACAAAAGCCAAACATTGAATAAACTACACTGGTAATTTTTAGTGTTTGGCACTGGTCTGATATTCAGGATAGCTGTCACTGTGGAACACAGTTTAACATAGAACACTTTGGAAACAATAGTGCACACTCTTAAAAGCCTGCTTTTCTCACACTTGATTTTATGTTGAAAATCTTAAATATAAAGGTTTTACTACAAGTATCACATAAACTTAATATCTTCAAAGATGAATCCTGTCAGACAAACATATACACCTTACACTTAATCCATACACCAAATAAAGTTGAACTATTGCTTTTGGTATTGAAAAACAAACCAAAACACAGAAAATTAACATTGACCAACGAACAATGAAAATGAGTCAAGGTCGTATTATACACACCTTACAATCATTCCATACACCAAATGTAGTTGACCTGTTTCTTATAGTACTTGAAAAACAGACTAGAACAGAAATCTTTAACATTGATCAATGAACCTCTTACAATCATTCCATACTCTACATATAGTTAACCTACTGCTTAAAGTATCTGACAAACAGACCTATGCACGTATCTTTAACACTGATCCATGAAATTAGGTCGAGGTCAGGTGACATGTAGACGTTGCAAGGAATCCATATACCAAATATAGTTATCCTAATACTCATAATAAGTGAGAAATTTACATGGCAAAAAAACAGTCGCTGAACCATGAAAATGATGTCGAGGACAATGGTCGTATTAAAGACTGAAACTTCGTCATATAAGGTATCTGCATACAAGGTATGAAGCATCCAGGTCTTTTACGTTTTGGAATATAAAGCTTTATTCAAAATGTTAATACCGTAGTAATCCATATGTCTATCATACTGCGATTCTCGTCGCAGGCAAGACAAAACAAGTTGTAAAAATTCAAACATACTACCCACACTGATCTATGTCCACACTTGTAAAAGTATAAAGCTATAGAAAGATATAAAGAGTCAAAGTCTAAAAAGGAAACAACACGCTGTGAATACATGTGTCCGAAGCGCTTTTCTGATTTTACCTTCATCAGGTACTCACAACGCCGAATATTTGAAAGCCAATGATATATAAGAACCTAAACAGTTAAAAAGCTATATCACCAAAATGGACCCCAAAAAATAGCCAAATCCATCTAAGGTCAACTTTGCCAGGAAGAGTTGAAACTTAAGTTTCTTTATAATTTCAAAATTTATAAACAAACAATTTAATGTGTTTCTTGATGTTCATTTCTATTCATTGTGAAAAAAAAAGATTTCTATCACATGACGTTCTGCATTATTTTCCTACGAACCAAATCATGCTTCAGTCATAACAATCCAATTGTACGAATATCCAGCGAAAATGAATGACATTTTGATGATCTTTCATGGCAGTACATATCAATCCCAATACAGGACTGTAAAGTATGACTAATAACTCCTTATATTACAACATTTTTCTTTCATTCATCTTTTTATTGAAATGACACTGAACAACTGTATGGATGTACATACACTTTTATAAGTTTCTTCACATACAAAAATATATGAAGTGCCGTCAAATAATGGGAAAATCATAAATTCAAAATGTTTATTAAGGCTTTTTTAGTTTTATTTAATGGGGATTAAAAAAGCATCTTTACAACATGTAGTCTAGCATCTGATCTCTGTTCGCTCTCTGAATGACATCCCACCCATAGCTGTCCCTTTGAATCAATATCCATCGAAAATTGATGAAATATCCCCTGATCCTTCATAGCATGACATGTCAGTAGATCTCCCTCTCCAGACAAGACGTGTAAGGTATTGGTTATTACATCATTCACTAAAACATGTCCTTCTGATGTCGTTAATATATCTATAGGATAAAATAGCTTATCGCTATTGACTTGAGGATTTCCCTGATATGCCCATTTAACATGTCCCTCCCTGTCTATAGCAACCGCCCTCCAATCCTTAACAGATATTCTATCTATAACAAGTATATCATTGTTAACATTGGATGTGATTCTAGCAGGAATAGTGAATAGTCTCTGTTTATGCTTGTCATACTCATAAGATTGTTTTTGTTTCCCATTCATTCCAAAGATTATAATTTTTCTACAACTTGTGTCAATTACTTTGAATGGACAGCCCAAGTCTTTTACACCAAGTATAATCTCATTGTGTTTTGTGACATGTATACCACACGTTACCAGTGGTGAAACGGACAGAAAAGGTTTAATTGTTCCTTTCTTTGTTGTTAACAGACAGACATTAGTACTGTCAAACAAGGACAGGAAGATATCATTATTACCTTTCCGTGCCATGTCATAAACCTGAACAGAAATATCTTTTATAGTTTTGATTGTTAAATCAATGTTTATTTTACGTAAACAAGAGGACGCATGATTAGAAATCCAAACTGTCCTGTCATCAAGTATTAATACTTTTTCGACAGTATTTATATTTGTAGTATAACTCTTGATTACATCAAAAGTGATTTGTGACAATCCCTTTGGTAGATTTGTCTTTTGAAGTGATCCAAATAAGTTGGAAATGTTCTTCAAATTATCTTTCTGCGGAATGAAATCTTTTGTTTCATCAAGAAGTGTCTCGAAGGGGACATCTGGAACTTCGTTGGTGCAAAATTCTTTATGAGCAGTGAAAACGTTAACTGCATGCTCTGATTCTAATACTTCTTGTATATCGCTTTGCTTTTTTAGCAAATTTTCTTTATTTTTTTCATATTGCTTTTCTTTTTCAAGCATCGAATTTTTTATCCTTTGCCTTTCACTTTCCATTTGCTTTCTGAGTTCATTAGCATATTTACTGACTTCAACTTTAATCAGCTGTTCCTGTTGGTTAATTTTTTCAACAGATTCAGCAAGAAAATTGTTGTATTTAGTTTTTAAATCCTTGATTTGTTCTTCTTCTGTTTCAAAACGTGCTACCTTTTCAAACAATCTCGATCTTAGTTGTTTTAGACTTTGCCTTCTTTCATCGCACACTGTGTCAATTGAATCAAGGTCATGTGTTTTATGGAAGGCAGTTATACAGTCTGCACAAACGAAGCGATCACATGTCCTGCAAAACATGCAGTTGAATTTCTTGTGACTCTGGCATGGAATATTGTTGGTAATTATGGTGTGTTCCATATCTTTTTCAGCTACTGAATTATAGGCATCAACAATGTCATGTCTGATTGAAGTTTGAACTTTTAAATGAATTTTCTTACATTTTTCACACATATGTGTGTTGCATTGTACACACTTCCATTTAATGTTTGTGTCTGTTTCACACAACTCACATGGTTTAGGCACTTGGGCTTGCCTTATGGATTGGGGAAATGCCATCTTGTCAATTTAATATAACTCAGCCACTGCAAATAAATAAAAGGATACTACATTTTTTTAGTTGCTTTTGTTATTATTTTTACAAAGTATGTGTTGGTTTTAAAAATCAAGCGATATACTTTACTACAGTTCACTTTTTCGTTTTTTTGGGCTGTCAGATACTTATTTCTCTGTTGTCTTAAAAGCTTATACCTAAGAGATTTTTTTTAATGTATTCGTTTAAGCTCTGGTGGCCTCAGTTGTATTTACAAATCGTACTAAAATGATATGAAATATTCTTTTTAATTTACAGCAAATCTTGTTTTGATACTTTTGTTTAATGTTGTGTCGATTGCTGATACTGCATTATCCACTTGATGTTGTTGAGTTTTGTTTTTTTTTTATTGACAGCAACCCATATCTTCTTTAATTCATCACTACCTGCAGTATTTTTTACAAAATTATATCGCATGGTGTTTTCTTGAGTCTATATGAATTTTAACTATTGGTATAATTCTTATATAAATTGGTGATGTGCAGTAAATGTATCACGGCTATTAGAACATAAACTAATTCTTTTTTTCAACTGCTTCTGAGCCCTCTTACAAATATTCGTAAATTTGAGAAAAAAAAAAGAATTCAAAATCAATCGTAACTTCTAGCATGAAGAGATTCAAATACTACATTTTTTTAATATAGATATCCTAAACTTTTCAGGCTGATCTTTATTTACAGAATCATTCATTCATTGAGTTTTTTCTCCTCTAAAGTTGAAATTATCTTTAAAAAAGTATCAGATTTTACACAAATGATTTACTTAAAAGAACAAAAGCAAGACTGAGTGAAAAATAACACTTCATCAATGTGAACAAACCAGGTGCAAGTGTTATTGAGTCCAGGAGGAGTACAACAAAAAATGGACAGCGTCTATCTCCTGTCTATAAAATGAAATAACCCTTTATAAAACTTGTGCATTTAAAGCGCTTTTCTGGATTTACCTTCATTTAAAACGGTCATATATACCCCAAAATTTGTTGACAGAATCATGAGTGAAATCAAAAGATGCATTCTGTGAATTGAACTGATTGAACGGGAATTTTTTATTGGAACAAAAGCAGGCGATAATTTCTCATGTATCAATTATCATAGTTGTTATCTTGACATGAAGTAGGTAGTCTTGAAATTGTTAAATGAATTAAAAGCAGTCATATATTATTTCTCTTCAAGCACATTACCCTCTTCCCGAATATTACTTTAAACGATACATCCAAACTGCAAATCACGCAAATTCGATGAACACTTTACTTATTGTATACTAAGTTATTGCGAACCAAATGAAACTTTTCCACAGATTCATCTCCTATTGGTCAATATATTTAAACTTTTGTCAGTTCTATTGTCCCGATGAATAAATACAATAGCTATTGTTCTCTGTATAGTTTATTCACTGGGACCTTTAAATGTCTTCTAAGAGAAATCCATCACACATTGATTGCTTTACCTGAATACAATAATTATCTTCCAAATTGATGAAAATATATGCTTTAACTCACAAAACTGCATGTGATGTTGTATTTATTCAATATCACTAATATAGTTTCAATCTGTTCGATGTAAATAGTGATTCAAACATCATAAAAGTTGATTTCTGACAAAATTTTTAACATTGTTGCTATTGAATTTTTTTTTTTTGTGTTTGACAAATGAAAACTGGAAAATAATTATGTGTAGATTCTATATCTAAAAAAAAAACAACAAAAAAATGCAAATTTCAATAGAAATAAGGATAAATATTTTGTCAGAAGTCATCTTTTTATGATTAAATCAGTGTTTATATTGAACAAATTGAAAATATATTATTGAAATTGAGTAAATACAACATCACCTGCAGTTTTTTTTAGTAGAATCGTGTATTTTCATCAATTAAGAAGATTTTGTTTTACTCATGTAAATTAATCAGAGTGATGGATTTCTCCCAGAAGAAATTTAAAGGTCCCGGTGAATAAACTACACAGAGAACAATAGCTACAATGTATTGTATTTATTCTATTGGACAATAGAATTGACAAAAGTTTAAATAGAATGACCAATAGGAAATGAATCTGTGGAAAAGTTTCATTTGGTTCGCAGTAATATATTGAAAAGGTAAGGATGTAACTATCATATTGTACAAGAAATACAAAATCCCAAAAATTTATACACGACTTGAAAAAACATGCTCTTGTGCATTCAGAATTATACATTCTGTTCCTTTATGTCAAAACCAAACTTAAAATAGTAGCAAGTTTAACATCCTCACCTCTCCTTCTATGTCTGTTTTGTTCACACATTGTTGTCAATATAATGGAATTTTATGCGACTGTCATACAAGTGAGAGGTTTAGCTAGCTATAAAACCAGGTTCAATCCACCATTTTCTACATCAGAAAATGCCTGTACCAAGTCAGGAATATGACAGTTGTTATCTATTCGTTTGATGTGTTTGAGCTTTTGATTTTGCCATTTGATTAGGGACTTTCCGTTTTGAATTTTCCTCGGAGTTCGGTATTTTTGTTATTTTACTTTTTTTTGTAAAGGAATAGGTTTAAACTCAACGTTATTATTGATGATCTAAAGAGAGCATGCAGTTATATATATATACTTACATATATATGCTTTCCTTGTCGACTGTGGTGTTTTGTCAGAAGGAGAAATAGCTGTACTTTGTTTTTCTTTTATCAATTAAAGTTGAACTTTGATTTTCTTTTATCAATAAAAGTTAACAGTTACATATTTGAGGATTATAAAATAGATATTAAATTGATAATTGATAAATGTGCTGATCAATGAGATTTGCATTTCGATACCCTATTTTCTTTTAGTTCTTCTGATTTTGTTTTTTATTACTACTTGTGTTTGTCACTGGCATTTGTCACACCCCCTTTTCCTGTGGTACTTATATGATTTTTTTTCTGTAACATCACATTACATCTCCTTTTATTAATCAAATGGTTTTATTATCATCTTTAGAGTGCTTGCATATAATATAACTAACGGAAATATGCTCTCTTCGCACAAATTGGAAAGTAAAACTACACAGATTATAACACGCATAATTAAGTGCAGCTGACTGGTAAATGTGTTATTTTTTGACACAAAGAGAAATTGTTGTACTTTGTCTTTTGATATCAGCAAATTTGTGTATATATCTCGAGTGAAATAAATATAGTGTGTGTTCTAGTATTTGATACTAGGGACGATACGAAACATTTCTTTTATTTGCACCTTACATTGACAACTCCTAAATCATCTAAGTGATAGGCCCACGTATCGTTACAAGTCTACGTGGTCAAGTGTCCACTAATTTAATATAATTGGAAGACTGAGAAGTACCAAGTATCCACATTACGTGAGACGATCTTAATATGATCCTAATTTCACACTTATTCTGGTCATACATGGAGATATTGGTGTAATATATATATTCAGTATTTCATTACTTAAGTATCATATGATCAGTTTAATTCATCAAAGGATTGACAATGCCTATTCGAATCATTATAGCCCATGCATTATTTGATACTTGATGTTCTAGCTTCACCAATTAATACATCCTACTTATATTTTGACAATTTAATTTTTGCTCTTTGATTTTTTAAATGCATATTGGCCTTTTAACTTTTTTTATTCGAACATCACTGATTAATCTTGGTATCTTTGATAATGTTTTAAAAAGATAAAATACATCTACAAGACCTTACAAATTACTACGAAATTTTCATTTTTAAAAACTTTTGTTGTCTAACGTACGTGATGAAGTTTATTTCAGATATTTGTGTTGAACACATGGTGAACAGAAATAATAGAAACAGAAAAATACATATTATAGTCCTGACAGACTATGATGATTATGACTTTAGTTGATTGATTGTCGTTTGCTTTACTTTATTGATTGTCCAGTGGTAGATATTTCAAAATTGACTAATGATATCTGTGCATGAGAAGTATTTAAACGTTCCGTGATCAAAGAAGACCAATGTCGGGTCAGGCCTTTGTTGATGCATGCAACTAATTGATGGAACATGTGTACTGAAGCAGAACTGATGAATCTGATTTCCAAACTATTGGGAAACAGGAAGTCGCTGACAGAAATAAATTGCTTACAGGCTACAGCACATAATTACCAATTGCAGATAAATTGCAAATAAATAAATGCAAATAAAAAAACATTCCATTTCATAGAAGCTACTTTATGTCTTTCGGACAGACAGAAAATGACATAAGGGGTCTACTAGCAATTACTAGACCCGCTTCCATCATTGGAGACGCAGGGAAAAAAGTAGCATGTTTTTTTCTTTCTTTCTGAAACATGCCATGTTGTCAATGCAAAATCTCTTATTGTTATCATTAGATTGATTGGAAAGGAGCAGCACATGATCTTATAATTGCTGTTTTCATATTTTGTAAAACTGTGGTCATATTGGATATTTTTTAGATTCTGTCCTGTGTTACTTAATAAACGTTGATTAATTGACTGATTGCTGATTGATTAATGTTGTTGTTGCAAGGAAACGGATGAACATATAACATATATAATATATAGGTTTTTGTGTCAACAACAAAGTTACATTTTTCAAATGAATGTCTGCAATATATTTATGTTTAAAAGTGGATGATTCAATGTGCATTGCAGGAATCTAAATCGACTTTTCAAGAACTGATGGAACTGCTATTGATTGCTCTAAAACATGACTTATTGTTTAACAGCAAATGATCGACTTAAAACAAAATGTGTCAACACCAAACTGATTAAAATACAGATATAATGCTTGTGTCCATGCTTATCTTAAAAAGATCTGACAACACTCTGTTCTCCTTTCTAGGCTGGTATTAATTCATTAGCCAATGAAAATTCATTCAAAATTTATAAGGTGTGCATCTTTTCAACAAAACGAGAGGACTGCGGATAGTCTTTAAAACAGAAAGTAGAACGCAGCAGTGTCTGATCCTTGTAAGTGGAGCCTAGAAATAGGATAATATTCTATGTGTTTTTATCAGATTGATCCTTAAAGTAATTTTGCTACATCATGTACATCGAATAAACAAACTTTCTATTTATAGATACATCAATTTTTTTATTAGTTTTTAAGAACTTTGAACTAGCTTCCCGAAACTGCAAGTACTCTGAGTTCAGTTAAGCCCTTTTCAGCTGATTTTAATTATCTGTTCTAATGTTGTACTGTAACACCACTGTCCCAGGTTAGGGGCAGGTTTTGGCACTAGTAAACATGTTTAACCCTGCAACATTCTGTATGTGCATGTCCCAAGCAGGAGGCTGTTTGTTATTCAGTGGTTGTTGTTTGTTGCTGAATATCATATTCGTTTTTTTGATTATTGTTTTTTGTACATAAATCAGGCATTTAGTTATCTCATTTCAATTGTTTTACATTCGTTATTTCGAGGCCTTTTAAAGCTTACTATGCAATATGAGTTTTGCTCATTGTTGAAGGCCATACAGTGACCTATAGTTGTTAATTTCTATGTCAATAAGTCTCTAGTAGAGAGTTGTTTCTTTGGCAATCATACCATATCTTCTTATTTATAAACGACCTCTGACCATAAAACATCCTTTCATTTTCATAAACTACCCCCAACTAAGTCATGGTGACTTTTATCAAGCAAAAGAAATAAAATGAGTGCAGTAGAGCATGTCAAGCAATAGTAATTTAGATATTTAGACTTGGTGACCTGATAAAAAGTGATAATAAAATGCTTCGCTGGGCGCAGCTTGATACGACCGCAGAGGTCGAACCCTGAACAGTTGGGGCAAGTATGGACACAACATTCAAGCTTGATACAGCTCTGAATTTGGATTGTGATTAAATATTTGACACAGCATAGGTTTCTGACACAGAAAGAATGTGGTCTAAGAACTTCAATTTTTTTAATTTACCTATTATGGTCCAATGTCCAAAATCAAAATACATGGTTAGATTCAGCATATCAAAGAACCCCATATATTCAATTTTTGTTGAAATCAAACAAAGTTTAATTTTGGACCCCAACTTGGACAAACTTGAAAACTGGTCCCATAATCAAAAATCTAAACACATGATTAGATTCAGCATATCAAAGTACCCCAAGAATTCAATTTTTGTTAAAATCAAACTAAGTTTAATTTTGGACCCTTTGGACCTTAATGTAGACCAATTTAAAAAACGGGACCCAAAATTAAAAATCTAAAAACCAGTTAGATTTGGCATATCAAAAAACCCCAATAATTCAATTTTTGATGAAATCAAACAAAGTTTAATTTTGGACCCTTTTGACCTCAATATGAACCAATTTGATAGCAGGCCCACAAAATAAAAAATCTAAATACATGGTAAGATTCAGCATATCAAAGAACCCCATATATTCAATTTTTGTTGAAATCAAACAAAGTTTAATTTTGGACCCCAATTTGGACCAACTTGAAAACTGGGCCAAAAATCTAAAATCTAAATACATGTTTAGATTCAGCATATCAAAGAACCCCATATATTCAATTTTTGTTGAAATCAAACAAAGTTTAATTTTGGACCCCAACTTGGACCAACTTGAAAACTGGTCCCATAATCAAAAATCTAAACACATGTTTAGATTCAGCATATCAAAGAACCCCAAAAATTCAATTTTTGTTAAAATCAAACTAAGTTTAATTTTGGACCCTTTGGACCTTAATGTAGACCAATTTAAAAAACGGGACCCAAAATTAAAAATCTAAATACAAGGTTAGATTTGGCATATCAAAGAACCCCAATAATTAAATTTTTGATGAAATCAAACAAAGTTTAATTTTGGACCCTTTTGACCTCAATATGAACCAATTTGATAGCGGGCCTACAAATAAAAAATCTAAATACATGGTAAGATTCAGCATATCAAAGAACCCCATATATTCAGTTTTTGTTGAAATCAAACAAAGTTTAATTTTGGACCCCAATTTGGACCAACTTGAAAACTGGGCCAAAAATCTAAAATCTAAATACATGTTTAGATTCAGCATATCAAAGAACCCCATATATTCAATTTTTGTTGAAATCAAACAAAGTTTAATTTTGGACCCCAACTTGGACCAACTTGAAAACTGGGCCCATAATCAAAAATCTAAACACATGTTTAGATTCAGCATATCAAAGAACCCCAAGAATTCAATTTTTGTTAAAATCAAACTAAGTTTAATTTTGGACCCTTTGGACCTTAATGTCGACCAATTTAAAAACGGGACCCAAAATTAAAAATCTCAATACACGGTTAGATTTGGCATATCAAAGAACCCCAATAATTCAATTTTTGATGAAATCAAACAAAGTTTAATTTTGGACCCTTTTGACCTCAATATGAACCAATTTGATAGCGGGTCCACAAATAAAAAATCTAAATACATGGTTAGATTCAGCATATCAAAGAACCCCAAGAATTCAATTTTTGATGAAATCAAACAAAGTTTAATTTTGGACCCTTTTGACCTCAATGTGGACAAAGTTGATAACGGGGCCCAAAAATCAAAAATCTAAATACATGGTTAGATTCAGCATATCAAAGAACCCCATATATTCAATTTTTGTTGAAATCAAACAAAGTTTAATTTTGGACCCCGATTTGGACCAACTTGAAAACTAGGCCCATAATCAAAAATCTAAATACATGTTTAGATTCAGCATATCAAAGTACCCTAAAAATTCAATTTTTGTTAAAATCAAACTAAGTTTAATTTTGGACCCTTTTGACCTTAATGTAGACCAATTTGAAAACGGAACCAAAAATTAAGAATCTAAATACACGGTTAGATTCGGCATATCAAAGAATCCCAATAATTCAATTTTTGATGAAATCAAACAAAGTTAAATTTTGGACCCTTTGGACCTCAATGTGGACCAATTAAAAAACGGGGCCCAAAATCAAAAAACTTAATACACGGTTAGATTCAGCATATTAAAGAACCCCAAGAATTCAAGAATAAAACCCCATTGAAATTGATCAAGAAATAAGCAATTTATACGAAGTATCTTCTTTTGCACAATACTGTGCAATTGAATATTTCTTGCTATTGTGCAATACTGTACAATTGACAATTTCTTGCTATTGCGCAATATTGTGCTATTGGATATTTCTTGCTATTGCGCAATACTGTGCAATTGAAGATTTCTTGCTATTGCGCAATACTGTGCAATTGAAGATTTCTTGCTATTGCGCAATACTGTGCAATTGAAGATTTCTTGCAATTGTGCAATACTGTGCAATTGAAAATTTCTTGCTATTGCACAATACTTATTATATAATAATTTACACATCCTGTTTGGTGTGTATCTCCTACCATATCATTATTATTTGCTTTTAAATATTAATCAGAAATAACCAACTTAAAATGGAAAATTTTAAAAGAAAAAAAAAAATCCCCCCCCCCCCAAACTTTTTGAACCCACTTATGATTCATCACCCCCAAACTCAATCCCAGCCTTCCCTTTGTGGTATGGTACCTTGCAGTACAATTTCAGAGAGATCCATACACTTGAACACAAGTTATTGTCTGGAAACTAGAAAAATGCTTATTTTTGGCCCCTTTTTGGCCCCCAATTCCTAAACGTTTCGGGCAATTACCCCCAAACTCAATTCCAGCTTTCCCTTTGTGATATGGAACCTTGTAGTACAATTTCAGAAATATCCAAACACTTACACACAAGTTATTGTCATGAAACTAGAAAAATGCTTGTTTTTTGCCCCTTTTTTGGCCCCTAATTCCTAAAATTTTGAGGCAATTACCCCCAAAATCAATTACAGCCTTCCCTTTGTGATATGGAACCTTGTGGTACAATGTCAGAGAGATCCATACACTTACACACAAGTTATTGTCTGGAAGTTACAAAAATGCTTATTTTTGGCCCCTTTTTGGCCCCTAATTCCTTAACTGTTGGTACCATAACCCCCAAAATCAATCCCCACCTTCCTTTCGTGGTATTGAACCTTATGGTAAAATTTCATGGAGATCCATTCACTTAAACTAAAGTTAGAGTGCGAAAACCAATGTGTCTTCGGACGACGCCGGACGACGCCAGACGACGACGACGACGACGACGACGCCAACGTCATACCAATATACGACCAAAAAATTTTCAATTTTTGCGGTCGTATAAAAAAGTGTGTAGCAATACAATGCATTGGAAGCTGATCATTTAATGACATTTCAAAACTAGACTCAATACTTTTATTGCAGCTATGACTTAGATCTTGCAAACTGGTTGCAAACAAATTATTTCTTTGACATCATTTTTTTGTGCCTTTTTAGCATCAAGCTGACATATTTCTGCTGCAGTTGCAGGTTTTTTAACATTTTTTGATAGTTATGATGAGTTTGTGACTGAGTCATCTGAAAATACGGATTGTGATATAAGTATGGGTTGTATGCACTCATATATGGATTCTGATGTACATTCATGAACGGATTCTGTTGCATATTCATGAACGGATACTGTTGCATATTAACATAAGGCATCTGTTGCATATTCATATATGGGTAATTATACATGCTAGCATAAGGATTTTGATGGTATCCGCTTGTGTTGGGAAAGTGTGATGGAAAATTTGTGGAGTAACTTTTCATAAATGAGGCCCATGGATTTTGATTCAAATCACTGTCACTTCCAGAAATCTCAGAACTCTCATCTTCTGAAGAAGATGCACAATTGTCTTCAAAATCATAACTAGACTTTTTATAATGTGACTGTTTCCCTTTTCGACTTCCTGTCTGACCATAGTCATGTGGATGTTTATAATTCTGAGACTCCTCCTCTAAATCTTCACTAGATTCACTAGAATCAGGACATTCAGATTCAGACAGATCACGTTTTACTTCCTGCCATGGCTCAGATCTATAACACTGATAGGGTTTTGACCCAGGCTCTTTGTTGTAACTTTTATCTTCTTTTGTTGACTTTTTCCAATTGGCTGAATTATAGTCCGTGCCAACTTTATCTAAAGTTTCTTTCTGGTTTGCTCTTTTATAAAAAGTATCAGCTTCCTGTACATCTTTTTCCTTGCTATCGCTATGGATACATACTTTGACGTCTTTTGGTCTTTGATTATTTCCTCTTAATTTGAGATCTTTCAATTCACTTGCCTTTTGTTCTACATGATTGCCAACAGAATAGATTTCTGAATTTTGCACAAATGTAATATCAGCATTATCTTTTGACTGAAAAGATATTTTAGGATTAGGAGAAAGGTTTGACTGTTTTTTATTATTTCTTTTTGCTTGAATTGTCTGTCTAACTTCTCCTTTCTTATTTGATTTTTCCTCTATATGGTTTGCAGCTGAAGCAGGTTTTTCATCACTTTTAAATTCCTCGGAAGTCTGCACTGATTTTTTGGTAAACTTTAAATGTGACATAGCCAGTATTTTATTTACTTTTTGTAATAAATCCTTATCGTAAGTCAATGCTCTGCACATATTATTGATTCTACACTGATTTTTATCTTCTGATAAACATATTTTTCCAACTTGTTCTGACAGAGAATTTGCAGTACTGTTGTGTACTTTGCAACTCTCCACAGCAGTTTGGTATGTGTGTGGATTTTGCAATTTCTTTAATCCAATAACCTCTTTTAATGATGGAATTTTTATTTCCAGGTCCTTGAGGCTCTGAACATCTGCCACGATTTCATTTGTAGGCACGATGACCTCAGAAGGTGAGGTTACAGCACCTTTCTTTTCTTCATTTACATTTCTTCTTTTTGCTGTTTTTCGTTTCATAGGTTCAGCCTTTTCATTATCTACTTTCACTTTCTCTAACTTCTTTTCTATTAGTTCAACATCATCAATATCAGCTGTGGAAATATCAAATATGTCGTCTTCCACCTGACTAGCATGAAATTCTCTGACAAATTCCTCATCATCATTTCTCTCTTCAATAAGTTGTGTCCAAAAGCTAGCACTAGTATGCTTTCTTTGATTCTTCTTTGTCTGCATAGTTTCCCCTTTAATAGTCTTCTCTTCATTTGAACCTTCTTTAGTAGGTATTTTCTTATCAGCTATAGAACTGATTACAGACTGAGAACTGTTCTCTGCAGAACTTATGTCACCAATTTGAGCCTTATCACTTTGATCTGAAACTCCATTTAACAAAATATCTTTCTCTTTTCTTGAACTTACAATGTGTCCATCAGACTTATCACTCTTCAATATGGTGAAACTTGCTGAGCTATTACGAGCATTTATTTGAATTGATTCTAGATCGTTTTCTTCCAGCTTATCATTGTTTGAATTTTTATGTTTGTCATCAGAAACCTGCTCTGACTGAATATCAGTACCATCATAAGAATTTTTCCGTTTTGACTGTTTATTTTCTTCCTTGTTCTTTACAGGAAATGTCACATAACAGTTGTCTTTTATTGTTAATATTTTCTCTGTTGACACCATATCGTCCAGATTTATCATTCCTTGTGCCTTCACTAAGTCTACTGGAATAGGATCTAAAAATAGGACAGTGAAAACTTATATTTGCAAGCATTAACTACAAGTTTGATGGCAGCAATCTAATAACAAATACTTAAACATAGCATTGCCATTTTTTCTTATCAAATGATTGGAATTAGAACTACAATCTTAATTTATGATGTTGATGCAACAACTAAAGTTTATAATAGTTTTCATGATATTCATAACTTCAGATTGTTTATCCTTAAAACTAAATATATTTAAAAATCATATGTTTAAAAAATATAGCTAGTAAGTTAATACCACTATAATAATACCAAAATAAATATTTTAAGAAACCAAGCAATAAATAATTAAATCACATAATTTTCATAAATTTAGGAATAATCAAGATATGGAGTATGTATTATTGAAACAGCAATCCCAAAACTCATAAAATTTTCCAAAGAACATGTTTTCAACAATAAAAAGTGTCTAAATACTTAACTTTTGAAAACATTTTTTAAAGGTGATTTAATCAAAATTTGTCAATATTGTATTAAACAATATTCATTTCATTTTTTTAAATATAGCAGTAATGAGTTTAAGCTTGGTAAAGTTCACAAAAATTCTATTTCAATGAACATTTCATCGATTACTGCATGCAAAAACCATGTACAACTGAATACTATGCCTACCTGGAAGAAGTGTGATATTGGTATTACATTTTTTCTCTACAGACTGAAGATTAAGCAGTTCTTGTCCTTCACTAACAACACTCACACAACCACCAAATGTACCTAAAATACAGAAATAATACTATTCAAATACAATATAACAAGACTCAGCAATTCTACTCCCTAAACTCACCTGGATAAATGAATATGTGCAACAATCAAAGTTATTGACTTATTTTGTCACATTGTGTATAATGAATATCACAAATCAAATTCAATATTAAACCTGTTTGTACATTAACGTTAAATGATATAATTAGCCATACAAATTGAAAATTATGCTGTCATAATAAATTTTGTGCACAAAAAGGCAACCTGAGATTTCAAATGAGAAAATTGAGTATCTAAAATAATCATATTATAGTTTAGTCATAAAAATATAATGTTTTATCATTGTTATTTTTACCATCAGCACAAAAAATGTAGACTTCAAAATCAAAAAAATTTCAAAGACAAAATAAAATATTTTTAAATTGTATTCATGTTATCGCTTCCAAAACATGTCCTTCAAAAAGCAAGCACTGCCACACATCTAATTTGATTAGAAGTGCCTTTAGACCCTTCTCCCTTCTATGCTATTATTTCTAGAGAAAACCCTTACCATATCTTCCTGCTCTACCAATTCTGTGTAGGTATGTCTCATGATCCTTTGGAACATCAAGATTAATCACTAAGTTAACCTTGTCAGCATCTATACCTCTGGATGTCTGAAACAATAGAATGTAGTATTTATTACCAGTGCCATGTTTAATGTACATATATAGGCTCAATAATAGGACTTTTTCTCATGTTATAAAAGCTTTCCCAATCTTTTTCTTTTCCGATGGACTGGTGGAACTTTATAAAATCTTTCAATAATTCAAAATTCAAATCAAAAGTTGACTTACTGTGAAACATTGGAAAGATAATTCATTTCATAATTCTATAAAAATCAAGAGAGAAAGGGGTACAATTAAAAAAAATATTATGAAAGCTAGGGGTCTGCATAACATGCTGACCAATGCTATGTGTATTTCATTTCAAAACAGTAATTACTTTAAACACACTCAAAACAGGGTTGGCAAAGTATTACCTGCCCGGGAAAACCCGGGTTTTCCCAGGCTGGGCAATACTCCATGAAACGGGTAATACTGGGCAATACTGGGCAATATGATTTTTTAAGCTTTATTTCAAACCAAAAGAGTAAAGTCTTGTTGTAGTTTCATAGTATTAAAGCTAAATATATACATTTTATACAGATAACCATTGAGAGTCATTTCTAGAAGATTTAAAATTCAATATCATTCTCTTCTCCACTTATTCTATGTAGGAAGAATACAAGATACATTTAAGGATAACTTATTAATTTCCAACCATTGTTTCAATTATCCAAACTTTGAAAAAAATGCATTTTATGGCAGTGTTTAAGTGAATTGTAAATTTAAAATGCTATGCAATCATATTGCTAAATAAACACCTTACAGGGTCATGTCATTAACACTTATAGAAATGAAAAGGCTGATTATTGTTATATAAACATATCTGTGTTCTAATCTGAATAATAACTTATTAATTAGTGATGTACATATAAAATAATTTAAAAGTATTTTTTCTTACTTGTAATTGTAAATTCTTAATATTTGTTATATATATTTGAAAAAAAATGAATTCTTTGGCTTTATGTTAACAGTTTGACCAATCTAGACAGAAGGGTGATTTAATAGATTTTGAGAAGAATTATTGAGAAAGGCTTTTTCCATTTATATTTGCCTAATGTGTCTTCATGTATACTTGTCTCATTGTTGCTAGAATAATACTTTCTCAAATGTATACACTTGTATTATAAGACTCTCAATCAAGTAAACTTATTTATAAATCAAAATGTGTTTATAAATATCTTAAATGTATTGCATTTGTGTTTGATCACTGAATCCTTTTTAAAATTCAGGCCAGTATTTTATATTACCCAGTATTGCCCAGTATTACCCAGTAAAACCCGGGTTTTCCCAGTATTTCCCACTGGGCTGGGCAATACTCATAAAACCCGGGTTTATGCCAACCCTGACTCAAAATCTTTTTTTCATATCTAAAGTTCTTTAGAAAATAAAAGCTGAATAGTGCTGAATAGAACTCACTTTCATCAATCCAGAATGAGTATTGATGCAAAGCAAAAAAAAATGCTGCTTTAAATGTGGACTAATAGACTGAAAATTGGTTACCATAACTTATTTGTTGAGGGGTTGATAAAAATCTGATAAAATTGATTTGCTTTTAACCAAAAAAAAAATCATCTAAAAGTAAAAAACACGCCTGCCATCTATGTTTGGAAAATTTTAAATTCTATTGATTTGAAAATAAAATGCTTTGCTGGGCGCAGCTTGATACAACTGCAGAGGTCGAACCCTGAACAGTTGGGGCAAGTATGGACACAATATTTAAGCTTGATAAAGCTCTGAATTTGGATTGTGATTAAATATTTGATACAGCATAGGCTTCTGACACAGAATGAATGTGGTCTAAGAACTTAAAAAATTTTAATTTACCTATTATGGTCCAATATCCAAAATCTAACTACATACACAGTTAGATTCAGCATATCAAAGAACCCCAAAATCAATCCCAGCATTCTCTTTGTGATATGGAACCTTGTGGTACAATGTCAGAGAGATCCATACACTAACACACAAGTTATTGTCTGGAAGTTACAAAATGCTTATTTTTGGCCCCTAATTCCTTAACTGTTGGTACCATAACCCCCAAAATCAATCCCAACCTTCCTTTTGTGATATTGAACCTTATGGTAAAATTTTATAGAGATCCATAAACTTAAACTAAAGTTATTGTGTGAAAACCAATGTGTCGGACGACGACAACGCCGGATGAAGACGACGCCAAAGCCAACGTCATACCAATATACGACCGCAAAATATTTTTGCGGTCATATAAAAATAGTAAGTCTTGAGAACCTGTGGGAAAGGCAAACTAATCATAAACCAACAGTAACATTGTTCTTACCAAGTCTGTAGATATAAGAACTCTACATTTAAAGGTTTTCAGTTTAGCCATTGCCAAATTTCTGTCCTTTTGATCTAGACAACCAGCAATACAGGCAGTTGGCCATCCCTTAGAATTCAGTGCATCTGTCATGTTCTGTGCCCTGGAAATACAACAATATGTGATTGCCGAGAAAATGTGGATACTGTGGATTGATTATCATTTGTGGATTTCATGGGTAAAGGTAAACAACAAATTTCAATGTTCAACGAAATATAAATTTTCTATAGCTTGCAAAGGAGTAGGTCCGGTAAGGGCCGATTTTTGGCCTCAAACTTCAGGTTCATCTGATGAAAAATTTTGGACACTTTTTAAAAACACTTACAATGTACAATGTAAGTGTCTACTTCAGTCGATTCAATTAGTTTTTGTGAAAGATTTGAACAGATTTGGTCATTTAAAACGCTCAAATTCAAGCTAAAATATGAAAAATTTATCAAATATGCCATAATATGTCACTTTTCAGATGGTTTTTGTCAAAAATGAAAATGGCCGCATCTGTGTTCATTCTCAACCTTTATGTTATGTTATGTATTATCATCAAATACAACTTACATTTAAATATTAAGAATGAACACAAATGCGGCCACTTCCATTTAATTTAACTCAAATGCTAAAATTGTGAAAGATTTCAGTAATTTAGCATGACTTAATGATAATAGTACCAGATACAAGTGCATTGTATTGTCAAAAATATTACCATATTTATGTAACAGAAGTATTCTACTTTCCAATAGATAGATAAAAGTTTACATTCGAACAATTTTGTAAAACTGCAATATTTTGGGGCCAAAAAGGGGTCTTACTGGACCTACTCCTTTGTTTGCAGACTTTGGCAAATCCATAAAATCAGGTGTCCTCAAAAATACACTTTTCCCTTAATCCAGGATATTGATGCCAATGGAAATTAATGATTCCACAGTATGTGAAAGTTTCCCAATATTCTGCAATCATCTTTATTCTGTTGATTCATAATTATTTGGGGTAGAAAATTTTCTTGGATTATTTGAGAAGTTAAAACAACAAAATCGTGTATCCACAAATCTTTTTCTTTCTAAAATTCTTTAAAATTGGTACCCATACGAATTTATGTATTCACATATTTGCTGAAAGACATTAGACCAGGCCTTGCTGTCATAAAAATTTCGAGTACGATTTTCGTACTCAGACTCAGAAATTAACCAATCAAAATCCTGGATTTGGTGTTTCGAGCACAAATTTTGTACTCCGAGTACTGAGTAAATTTTTATGACCGAGAGCCCTGATCTATTTAACAAATAAACACTTCCCTGTTTACTTTTTTGGTATTTTTAGTAACACACCTGCTTTGTGAGAATCTCATTTATACCTTCAAAAAAGATTTGTAGCAGTTTCAGTGGCTATTAAATGATAAAATATAAATGAAAGGATATTTGTGGGGCACATCCCATTGAAAAAGCCAAAAATTATGTAGACATCTAAATATGGCCATCAACAAAATTCAAGTATCATGACAATTTTATAGTTCAAATGTCAGGGAGTTTAAGAAGTTGTCAGTAAATTAACAGACTTTAAGCATATGCCATCAATACCAATTTCCAAAAATGACAGAAAAAAAACATCTACTAAAAATTTCTAATGGAGAACAAGCACTTGGACATGTGGGGTAAAAATATAATAGTTTATGTGTATACCTCAACATTGTGTGCCATATTGAAATGGTTCAGTTCAAATGTCAGAATGAAAATCAGTGCAGTTCATTTGGCATCAAATTACTCCAATAATTTTATAATTCAAATTGCAAGTCAACTTAAAATGTATTGTTACTTGAAACAAGAACCTACAACATATATACTGTTTGTAAGTAAGAGAATGAAAGGTATTGCTGGAAGCCATAAAAAAAACTATGACAAACAAAAACATATTACGTACATGGTCTGTAAGTTAGAAAATACCAGGCATTGCTGGAAGTCTATGGATGAAAGCAGCCCTGTGACAATTTCTACTTTACTCTCAAACAACTTGTTAGGCAGAGGGTGGAACTTCACTGATTTGTAATACTGTCTTATTCCTAAAATGAAATAATATCATCATTAAAAAGAACAATTTTATGATCCTTTTGTTATAATATTTGTTTTACTCTTTATAAAACTATACAGAATTATTTCTCTTCATTTTTTTCTGCAAATTCCCTTAAAACCGTGTATTGCTAGGAAGATGGTAAGATTTTTCAGCTTGGAATATTTGATTCCCTGGAACAAACTTTAATAATAAACTGAAGACAACCAATATTTATTTAACTTGAAATATCCTGTAGTATATATATTCTAAAGGTTTTTCATGACAATCTTTTAAATCATCTTCAATCATCAGTAAACAACATAAATGTAATAATGATCAACTCTACCTTTTCAGTATTGTATTTCAAATATTAAACAAATGATAAGCAAATAATAGCTACTAGCAGGATATACCCTTGAAAACGTACAACTCAGAATTCATATATAATATTAATAGGGTTTCAATTCAATTAGTTTAGGGATGGGATTTTATATTGCTTTATCTTTTTTCTTGATTTTGCCATTTATTGCAATTTAGTTTTTAATAAAGTCTAAACTTTTTGAAGAAAGACCAGTGTTCTAGAATTCCCATTTCCCGTCACCCGTGGCAAGTTGATTAAGGTCACGGGAAAGTGGAAATTCAAACCTTTGTTGTCCCTGGGCAAGTAAAATTAAATTACAGAAACTTCCTATTCATACAGATCAAAAGATTGATGTGGAACCGTTTGTATTCTTTTATTTCAATCAAAGTCTCAAATCTAGATCCTTGTTGTTGGTGTAAATCATGCAGGGGTTCTAAAGTCTAAGGGAGAAAAGCGTGTGCATGTGTTTTGCAATCACCGTCATAAATACGCTTGACAGCTAAGCAAGGAAAATCCACGATGTCAAGTATCCATCTGATCTAGACGCAAAAATCTAATAACCAGAACGCAAACGGTAAAAGATTTCATATCCGGATCTCAAATTCGTGATTTTTTGCGTGTAATGTTTGACAATATTACAGGCCTCTACATTATCATTTTTTCTAACTTGTCCCTTCAGACAAGTTGCAAGAAAATCAACTTGTCCGAACTCTTAACTCACTTGTCCGAATTCATAATTGAAAATCTTACATATTGATGATATGCAATAATAACACTGGCGCTTTGATTGTACCAAATAAAGGGAGTATTTTGTTATGTTATATGAATACCACATCAAAATTCATTTTATTATTTCAGACTGAAAGATTATTTGCAAGAATGAGTTCTCTGACTCAATGTCACTATCATGTGTCGATCATTAAATCATCATTTCTTACCAAACCACTAGGTTCTCCTATGGACCTATTCATTCTGTAGTAGTGGTATGGGTTAAACCATGGATGAAAATACACCTGGCCACCTTGTATAAGATTAAACCTTTTTAATTTATTGATGGTGTCAAAACAAGCTTTTACAATTTATTTTGATTTGTAAATACTTTGATATATGATCATGAAGTACATAAAACATTTCACTAAAAAATCTGCCTTTTTAGATTTTATTTAATTTTTACATCTTAACTTATTATTTTCATATATAGATCTTATTAAATAAAACCTCTTTTAATGTATTGTTATGCATCAAAGCAAAATTAAATGAAACGTACTTTAATTTAAAATTTTAAAGTTGTGGTAAAACTCCATATGGAGGTGCTCCTAATTCAAGGAGGCTTATACTGAGAAGAAGCATTAACATTGGTTTCTTTCCCCCTTACTTATATTTCCCTAGTCAATGGCTGCCAGCATGTTCAAATACGTTCAATCAGAGACATATTATACAAGTATTATATGTCTCTGGTTCAATCAATGAATATTTATTTCATTTAGTATGATCAATAAAACAATCATTCATATTTTTGGGAATGTATAAGTCTTTAATTTGATCTATTTTACATCTGACCTCGATTTTTCACTTGTCCCATCGGACAAGTAGTATGATGAATCTACTTGCCCGACGCCTGTGTCCACTTGTCCCGGACAATCGGACAAACAGTAATGTCGAGCCCTGTATTATCCCTTTTTTTTGCCAATACATTTGAATTACTGATGTAATGTCACATTTATATGAACTATCACTGTGTCAAACTAAAATTAATATATTTCAAAATAAAATTAATATATTCCATCAAATGATTTGTATATCTAGATGAACATGACATTGAATTATCAACACAATCACAAGCTAGTTAGACAAACTAATTAATTTCTAAGGAAATAACAGAGTTCATAATCTCAAAACGAACTACATGTATAAACATGCAATAAAAGGAATAACAAAATTATGAAAACATTTTTAAAATAGTATAAAATTGAGGGAAAGTTCATTAAACATGTGGGAAAGTGAATTTTTGGTACCAAAAATTGCAGAACCTTAGGTATTATTTACTTGCAACATAACCCATATTTCAGTTGTTTGTTTCAGATATTTTGATTTTAAACTTTTACTGCTAAAAAAAATTGCAGAACCTTAGGTATTATTTACTTGCAACATAACCCATATTTCAGTTTTTTGTTTCAGATATTTTGATTTAAACAGTTGTAATTTTGTTTAAATACTTTCATTTCACCTAGAGTAGTACATACATTTGTCCAGTTGCAAGAAAATATTTACATCTTGCATCTCACCATTTACATAGCAATTGTTTAAATAACTTAATTTTGAATCAGGAGTCAGAATCCCCTTTGCTGTCTAAAAACAATGTCATTGAAAGAAATTTTTTTTTTATAAATTTTCAAGTATGCATTTCATCATTATTGTTTTAAACAATAAAAACACTTAAAATATTGTCATGTTAGTGGAATCCAGATTCCAAATGAAGGTATTTTTTATGTTTCTTTGAAACATCTACCAAGCAATCATGAGCACAAGGTTGGAAATTTTCAACAGTGTTGTAGCAGTTGAGTTAGACTCTGATTTCAATTGATGACAATTGCCCATGGCCCTGTATTCCTGTCAAAGGTGGCTGATTTTCCCTTGGAACTTTTGCTTCCTTCGCCAATAAAAACTGGTTGCCATGAGAAAGCCAAGTGTGCATTAAGTGGTCTTTAACACCAACAATCAATCAATTATGTTCCAACAAGACATATTGTCTACACAGCAATATAAAAAAAATGTAAGCATCTACCTAATAAAGCTGGATCAGTAACATTTAGTCTTAAGAAAGTGGGATTTCTCATGTAAGCTGTCAGATGTTCTGCTAAGTATTCTGGATAGGTTGCTGACAAAGCCAACATCTGTTTGTTGTCTGGTAATGTTGAGTAAATCCAACTGAAAAAATACAATTATGTGGAAACTAAAATGGAGGTTATTTAGAGACAAACATGTGGTATAGAAATTTTTCTATCATTAATGACATCACATGATTTATTTATTAGTTGTGATTGTCTTTGAACTAGTTTTCAGTATCTATGAGAACTCTTAAGATCAGTACTTAGTGTCTTTAGTCTCTTTGTTAGTGTGTTTTGACTCTTTGTATTGATCTGAGGAATCAAGCCTTTTCCAACTGATTTACAGTTTGTTCTTACCGTATGTTGTGCTGTTACACCACTGTCCACGGTTATGGAAGGGTTGAGGGCTTACAAACAAGACTAACTATACCATTCTTTAGGTGTTTGTCCCAAATTAGGAACCTGTAATTCAGTGGTAGTCGTTGGTAGCTGTCTTTCATAATTGATTTTGTTTCTTGTTCTGTACATAAATCAGGCTGTTTGTTTTACATTTTGTAATTTCAGGTCTATTATAATTTAATACTATACAGTGTGGTTTGCTCATTGTTGACGGCCATATATAGGTGACCTATAGTTGCTTACATCTACATAATTTGGTCTCTCATGAATAGTTATCTCATTGGCAATCTCCTGATTTTTATATTCATTTACCTCTCTTGTCTCTTTTATTTTGTTTTGTGGGTTTTTTTCCAGTTTTTTTTACATTACTTATCACTAATGTGAATGCCTTTTGAAACAATTAATTCAACCTTTATCCTTTGTCTCTATGGCCTAATAATAACAAAAATTGTTAGAACTCTGAAAATTAATTTTTCGCATGAGAATCTTCATTTAAATGAGTGTGTGCTGTGATTTTTTCTGAGACTTTCTTTAAGTAATTTGAGCTGCAGCATATTCACTTTTTATCCTTGAATAACATTTCAGAGAAATCTAAACTGCATTCAGCCTACTTGATTTGTACTTGGAAGGTGTTTAAATTTTGGGCAGTTTGTTATGAAGTCATGCTTCTTTGAAAGGGAATTTTGAGTGGCTTTGACTGGGGTCAACATACTTAATTTGTCATTGGAAACTGTCATACAAAAGTTTTTAACAACTGGGCTGTCACTGGACCCGGCAACTTACTTTATTTGTTCCTGGAAGCTGTCTTCTAGTAGTTTGTCTGCCTCATCCAATATAAACATTCTAATGTTCTCTATGTTCATTACACCTTGTTCTATCAGCTGTTTCATTCTCCCTGTAAAAAAAACATGAAACATGAATTTGCATGGAGTTGTGGATGTAATGTTTTCTTTGTTAGTTAATGAAACACATGAAAGCTGAATATTCTACTGTACCAACAGGGTGATTCTGTTAAAATAAATTTTTGTTGGAAATATTTCATAGTGAATGCTTATCATTGAGTGTTTGACTTCAAAATATTTATTTTATAGACAAGAAAAGGTTGCAAGTCAGTGTACATACTACATGTAAGTCACCCTCAATCACGTTGTGTCAATGTGAATCACTCGACACTGACAAGAGAAAATTTTAACTGAATCATCTTGTGTCTATCATATATATTCATTTCTATTTTTCTACTTATTGCACACTGGTCAATTATCTTGGCACTTAATATTATGTATAGTATGTATATTATGTAACAATTTTTTAACAACAATTTGACAATTGTTTTCCTTGACAAACAATTGCTTATAGATATATCAACTAGGAAAAATTGGGAGATTTTATTGTTCAATATTGGAGAACATAAAGATTTTAAGAAAATTTTCCACATGTTTTACCCGGGATAGCATCATGACTTCTTTCCTTTTTTGTTTTATTAAAGTCATGTTGCTACTCATTGTCAATAACAGCACATGTTAACATTTTTTTTGGTACTTGATTAATGTTTGATTAGTGATTTCTTTACGCCGCATCAGCACAAAAGGGCTTGATAAAGAATACTTTAGCCCTGTGTTGAATTCTTTTTTAATAGAGTTGTAAAATATTATCAACAGATCTTTTTGTTCTAGTATCAGCTATAAGGAATACAAGAATCAATCTACAGACAAAACAGCAATTTATTTCCATGTAGTTTAGTCTATAAATTGAAAACAAACAAATTATCTCCCTTTAGTATTTCATTTCAGATTTTTAATTATACCTGGAGTACCAACAGCTATGTGGCATTTCTTAAGTTTCTGTTTGTCTTCCAGTAGTGGCATGCCACCTATAAATGTGTGGCATCTTAGCTGTGGCAATGCTTGGCCTATTGACTTAATAACATCCCAAATTTGTATGGCAATTTCCCTTGTTGGAGCAAGAATTAAAACCTAAAAAAAAAATGAAGACACAAAATATGCATAAATATTTTATCAGTGAAAACATTTACAACAAATTAAATACAGGTGGAAATTTTGATTCCTAACCTAATAACCTTAGCTTAAACCCTTCAGTCATTAGCCTGGTCAGTTATGGTCTTCAGTTATACAATGTTTTAAAAAAAAATTGTCCTGGAGAAAATATGAAGTTGATGACAAATCTGATTTTGTCCCTTTTAAATTCATTCACAACTTTTCTAGACTTGAGAATTTAGAGTTTGGCATAGTCATACTGATTATACCCCATGGATACTGTTTTGACCTGTTTGTCAGTCCTGTTCTTGTCATATCAACTTCTCTGAAACCACACAACAGAAATTTATGGAACTTAGTAGACAATAAGGACTTACTATGTAGATGCGCATATCGACAGGAAATTCTAATTCAACTTTTTTCTAGGAGTTATGCCCTTTTGAACTGAGAAGTTTGGCCTAAATATACTACTGCATCAGTTTTTCATTGCAACTCCTCTGAATCCATGCAACAGAATTTCAGGAAACTTTGTAGATAATAATAACATTCTATGTAGATGTGCATATCAATAGGAAATTACGATTCATTTTTATTTTTCTAGGAGTTAAGCCACTTTGAACTTAAAATTTTGGCCTAAATATAATATCCACAAGAAATTTTTATCATTTGACTTTAGTAGGAATTTTGAGTCTTTTAACTTAAGAATCTAGAGAGATTTTGTTTGCGCAGTGACAATGTGGGGGCGTGGGGTATGTGAGAGTGCACACAAAGGTTCTTTAGTTTATAGACACTCATGTATTGTTGTATACCATATGTTGTAGATGTGTCTTTTTGTGTGTTGGGGAGTTTCTATCTCATTGAGGTATACGCCACATTGCCTTTTATTCATATTGTGATTAACAGAGTGATCATATAGAATAACTAATCAAAAAATTCATATAAAGCAAAATATTCAATGAGTGACCACATTAATTCACAAATGCAGTTTTCTTCCACTAATCAAGACAGTGGCTACTGGTTTACTGTTACAATTACCTAAAAATCATGAATATGCATATACACATACTGACCTGAAGAGCTGAGGTATCAAGCTGAAGACCCTCTAATGCTATTACACTGAATACACAGGTTTTCCCTGTACCAGACTTTGCTTGTACAATCAAATCTAAAAATATCAAAATGTAAAATGACATTTAGTTATTTAATTTCAATGTAATAATAAAATGCTCCGCTGGGGCGCAGCTTGATACGACCGCAGAGGTCGAACCCTGAACAGTTGGGGCAAGTATGGACACAACATTCAAGCTTGATACAGCACTGAATTTGGATTGTAATTAAATATTTGACACAGCATAGGTTTCTGACACAGAATGAAAGTGGTCTAAGAACTTAAAAATTTTCAATTTACCTATTCATACATGTGATGGACTGTGAAACTCAGATCAGGAGATTGGGAAATTTTGGTCAGGAGATTAGGACTCATATCAGGAGGTTTTTAATCGACATTAATTTTGTTGTAAATGTAACCGTGTGCTGTAAAAATGGTCTTTTAAAGTGTGTTTTCTTCAACTTTCCAACCAATTTATTATGTTTATAGTACCCTTGTACTTATAAAGTTTCTCCATCTTTATATTCTACATGTTCAATCTAAGGGGACGACCATTTGATATTCTGGGGGGGGGCCAGGAGGATTTGTTTTTGATCGGTTATTTATTTTTGTAAACTAAGAGGACAGATTATCTATTTTCTGCACTGTTGAAGCAAGATTTTTCATTTTCATTAAAGCAAGGGACTGATTATTTATTTTCACAACTATATTCATAATATTTGAAAACATACAATTTTTAAATTCATTTTTTATTATAAATAATACATGAATAGTCCAATCATTATGTACCATTTAATCAGAATTAATCATCATCATCTGTAGAAATGAATCTTCTGAATTCCCAACTGCATATACATGTATTGCATACATACAAGATATTAAAGTTTGGCTGTAATTAGTGTCTTTTAAAAGTATTGCAAAGCATTTATGCCGAGCGGAGCGAGGCTAAAAAAAATTTGAAGGGTTTTGGAGCCGCTGAAGGCCCCAAGTTGCTATTAGAACTAATGATGCAAAATGTGTTTCCCAACCCTTTCTTAATCTGAAAATGAAAGTTCTGTTTTAATCATTTTTTGACAATATTTTGGTCTCCAAGCAACATGTATAGATTCAGTGTAAGACTTTTTTATGAGTTTTTAGGAACAACATCAAAAGACAAAGATAAAGCAAAAATTTAATTCACATAGTTAAGTATGTGGCTGCTGTTTTTTTTTAAACTCTTGATCAAGTTAATAACAAAATTACTAAATTACAAAAGGAATGCAACACTAACAGAATACAGAAGGGCAATCAATGAACAAAAGACAAATAAATAAGAAACATTGATCCCGAAAAAACAGGAGCTACGTCTGAGGGAGAACAGAACTTGCTTCTTGCAAGACACTTGCCGTGAAAACAATTTGATATGAAGACAAGCTTTTGGTTTTAAAATTTCCTACATGAGGCATTTGCCTGAATGTAGTTACTGCCATATGTAATAAAAGTGAGTTAAGTGTTCCTGAGACAATATACCTCAAGTTAAATGAAACCCATTTTTCAGACATTTCAAGTATTTTAAATAATATTTATACTTTTATTATTCAAAGATTTGGGAAGTGATTCCCGATTTTTTTTGAAAAAAAAGTTGAATTTTATGAAGAATCTGGTGCAATCTCATGCTCTCAAATAGACCTGCCGAGTTATTTATTTTTAATAAATTGCAAGTCAGGTTATTTATTTTCAAACTACCACAGAACAAACCATTTATTTTTGTGATTATCAAGGCTGAGTTATTTATTTTCAAAATCCTCCTGGCCCCCCCCCCCCCCCCCCCCCCCCCCCCCCAGAATATCAAATGGTCGTCCCCTAACATTGTTTTTTTCCAGTATGTTCTTTAAATTTTTTACTTCATATTCTATAAAACAATCATTGCAACCAGAACATTTGTTTAGCTGTCTGCAAATAGTTTTTATTTTTTTTTTTTTCTCTTGCAAATAGTTTTTATTTGCAAACTCAGAAATTCATTCTATCTGTAAAGTTAGGGTCATAGTTATTATATAAATTTCAATTTAAGCCTTAAAAGGAAGTATAGAATCCTCAAATAATTTTCAAATTATTATTTTTTTATTTGTCCTAAGACATTGAAAATCATTTAATAACCATCCTTTTATGATTATTTGTTCAATTTATATTTTATTAATATTCTTTTAAAAATTTTCATTATTAAAAGGAAAGTAACTTAAAACAGGATAAATCAAGGGAAGTAACCCAATAAATACACAGTTTTTGTTACACAACGGCAGTTAGCCTGAGGTAAAATCGTTGCTTACCAGTATGTTTGACACCCAAGCTGACAAGTGAAGCCATATAATTATGCATGTTAATTGATTTACAGGTAAAATATAACTTCAGGTAATGTCAGTTACACCAGATGCCTGAGATGTTACGTTGGGCAGAAATTTTTCATTCATGAAAAATTTCATACACGGGATTTTTTCAACGGGAGGTCGGGAGGAGACCCCTGAAAACGGGATTATTGTACTCCCGTCGGGAGGTTCACATGTATGCCTATTCAAACCATATCATTATTATTTGCTTTTATATATAAATCAGAAATAACCAATTTAAAATGGAAAATGTTAAAGAAAAAAAAAATCCCCCCCCCCCAATTTTTTGAACCCCCTTATGATTCATCGCCCCCAAACTCAATCCCAGCTTTCCCTTTGTGGTATGGTACCTTGCAGTACAATTTCAGAGAGATTCATACACTTGAACACAAGTTATTGTCTGGAAACTAGAAAAATGCTTGTTTTTTGGCCCCTTTTTGGCCCCAAATTCCTAAACGTTTATGGCAATTACCCCCAAACTCAATTCCAGCTTTCCCTTTGTGATATGGAACCTTGCAGTACAATTTCATAAAGATCCATACACTTACACACAAGTTATTGTCCTGAAACTAGAAAAATGCATGTTTTTTTTGCCCTTTTATGGCCCCTAATTACTAAAATTTTGAGGGAAAACCCCCAAAATCAATCCCAGCCTTCCCTTTGTGATATGGAACCTTGTAGTACAATTTCATAAGGATCCATACACTTACAAACAAGTTATTGTCATGAAACTAGAAAAATGCTTGTTTTTTGCCCCTTTTTGGCCCCTAATTCCTAATATTTGGAGGAAATTACCCCAAAAATCAATCCCAGTATTCCCTTTGTGATATGGAACCTTGTAGTACAATTTCATAAAGATCCATACACTTACAAACAAGTTATTGTCATGAAACTAGAAAAATGCTTGTTTTTTGCCCCTTTTTGGCCCCTAATTCCTAAAATTTGGAGACAATTACCCCCAAAATCAATCCCAGCATTCCCTTTGTGATATGGAACCTTGTGGTACAATGTCAGAGAGATCCATACACTTACACACAAGTTATGTCTGGAAGTTACAAAAATGCTTATTTTTGGCCCCTTTTGGCCCCTAATTCCTTAACTGTTAGTACCATAACCCCCAAAATCAATCCCCACCTTCCTTTTGTGGTATTGAACCTTATGGTAAAATTTCAATGAGATCCATTCACTCAAACTAAAGTTAGAGTGCGAAAACTAATGTGTATTCGGACGACGACGACGACGCCAACGTCATACCAATATACGACCACAAAAATTTTTTTGCGGTCGTATAAAAAACAGTCACTGTCGTCATCGGCAATTTCCCCTTCTTACCAAGTCAATGAAACAGCATATTTTTCATTTAAAAGTGAAGAAATTCAAAGACATAAACGATTTCTGTCTTTACAAAAGATGTGAAAGTATTGATTTTACTGATTGGTCGTATGTTATTTCAAAGAGACAACTTTTATGAAGTATTTTCTTTCACTTCCGTTACTTGTTACTCGATATCATATAGCAAAACATTTTGATTTTCGGCAAAATAAGTTTGTTACTTCATTAGAAAGTGATCAAAATTGCCTTTACATAATGTTTGATCCATTGATTTTTTGTTCAATCATTAATGAAAGTGAAATAGTGAAATAATAATTTGCTTTTAGCAGCTAGTATTGTCTAACTTTGTCAAAATAAGCAAAGAAATATTGATGATGAATTATTCACTTGCAAGTGAATAATTCGACCTCATTGAATCCGTATTCATGTGAACTTCACTTTAACCCCTTAGCTAGAGATGGAAAACGCATGAATTGTGTGCATGTTTGATTATTTAAAGGAAAAGAATGTCAACATTGAAAGTGAAACAAAGATTAATCATTTAATTGACTGATTCGATCCTCAAAAAAACCATTCTTATACAGGTAAATATGATGATTACCGTAGAAAGGCTTGTATAGTCCGCGGTTTTATTCTCCAAAATTGGACCTTCCAGACGGGGTGCGGACTATAGAGTACAATAAGCAAGAAATAAGAGAAAAATTTCAATTTCGCGGTCGAGGTGGTTTGTTTACGATCCGCCATCTTTGTTATTTCTATTGTAGAGGGCGCTCTTATCATTTTTCAAACTAATAATTTTAACTCATCCATATTAATAAGTTATTTCTATTCAATATCAAATTAATACTGATAAATATAAAAACTAAACCTTTCATTACAAATTTCTCGTTTCTTTTCAATGCATTGGTTGAAATAAACTGGTATCTGCTCGATTGAAACGATACAAACATAGTGAAAAAGACAACCGTAAACCAGCTTAGAATTTGTAAACTACAAAACGAAATCGGTTATTGTTCGTTCCGTTTTGGTGTTTCATACTGACTAATATGGTTTGTATTAGCTTAAGACCCTTCAAACATTAATGTGATAGATATATTAAAGACTGTTTTACAAAAGGATGGAACTGTTTTACTTTCAAAGTCGTATTATAGTGATATCTGTTATGTACGGATTTCGACTCTCACCGGTTAATTTCTTCTTTTACATGTGCTTTTTAAACTTCCTGTTTAAACATACACAAGTTTCTAAATTGTTTTTTAAGTGAATTAAACTTATTTTAACAATCATGAAGCGTTCTAGAATCATTAACAAGCAGTTTCAGCTTCTGTTTGATGATGGAAAACAGGTTTTTCCAAGAAAATACCGCAAACGACCGCACAGGATTTGAAATTACCGGAGTTTCATTAGACCTTTTCTAACAGTTACAAAAAGTTTTTTTACCTAAAATTTCGTGGGGAGAAGGGGGTGCGGACTATGTACCACTGCGAACTATACAAGCCTTTCTACGGTAACATATATTTTTAATCTATAAATGAAATTAAATAGACCTAGAAAAATCCATTTGCACGAGTTGTGCTATCTATTTATATCTTTATTTATGTTTATATACCTTATATGGGCATCGGTGGTTTTCGGGAGGTCAACTCGACAGTTAATTAGAAGGCGTCTAGACTAAAATACACACAAAACGAGCTACATATTATCCACCCTATGCCTTGTAAATTGTTTATTTTAGACTTTTTATAATTTGGATAAATGTTATACATTGTTATACATTAAATATGAGAATTTGAGTCAAATTGGTGAACATGAATTTGACAGCTATAGCTAGTGCCCCTTTAATAGACTTTTGGTTAGATCTCCTTGCTAAATGTATATATTTCCATGTAAATGCATTGTTTAAATTTATTGATTAAAGTTGCTTAACTTTGTTAAATGTATATATCTTTTAAATGAGAAACAGTGAATTTCATTAAGATCATAAACAGAATAGTTTTTTAATTGCATTTTACTTGATATATGATACTTTTTTTTCCTTTTTGATATAAAAAGTTCTTTTAAGTGCTTGATATTTAGTTGGTAGATTCTGACAAGAGGATTTATATAATTATGCAACTACAAATGACTATTTAAGACCTAAACTGAAACAACTGTTATTTTAATTGACTCATGTATGAATTGAACACCTATATAAAAAAAAAGGATACATATGGCCCTTTATATTATAGTAAAAACCAAACATTGTAGCGCCGCGTGCGAACGAGCACTTCTCTTTCAAATCTCACCACTTCTTCCTACAAGTTTCAAAAAAAATAGTCCCTTCTCCCTATGATTTTGAAGTAGTGTGAGCCCTGCTTATATAAGTAAATTATAATGCTTGAATAATCTCCCCTTAATTTTCTCAAAAATTTACTTGTACAATGTATAAGTAATTTTTTTTTAACAATCCCGAAAAATTCTCAAGTTTTGAGATGTAAAAACATGCCTTTAACAATTTTTCTCAGGTAAGCTCATAATTTTTTATTAGAGTTCAATGTTTCATCTCATTAATTCAACAAAGAAACTAATTGCGCAAAGATCTTAAGTATTTGCCACCGCCTTCAAAAATTGCCCCTTTGGGGCTTGTAAATGAGCAGTGTTCTGAAGATAACAGACAAATGAGATTTTCAATGTCCATGAAATTACACTTAAATGATTAGTAAAGACATCTGCAAAGGACAGACAATCAAAAATTCTATTAGAGCAAAGAAGTCCTAAGAAATTCAAAAAATGAAGATAGGATGACTTTTTTACTTGCATAAGTAAAAAAATCTGAATGTCTAAGGGACATAACTAAGCCAAAAAATAATTTACCTATACAAGTAAATAAAATACAGTTGTAGAAGTATCCTACAAATTTACTTATATAAGTATATTAATATTTACTTATTCAAGTAAATAAAAATTACTTGTACAAGTAGTACCCCTGACTGCCTGTCTGTAAGTTGTGTATTCATCATGTTCATTGTTTGTGTAAAAATAGATTTTTACTATGTATTGACCAATAACCATAACATGTTTAAGAAAACTTAGAAAATTTGTTATTTAATTCACCATTTAATCATGTAAACCATGCAGAAATACATTGTATTTTTTATGTTTTCCTTATTGAAATCTTAAAATTATAATTTACATGAAAGATTACCCTGTCATCGAGACAAAGCTTTAAGATTTAACTCCCTGGTCAAACATAGGAACACAGAAACATTTATTCAAGAAAAATTTCGGGTCTCACTAATTAGCGACAAGAAGCTCCAAGAAGCAACAAGAAGAATAATTTAGCGACAAGAAGCAACAAGAAGACTATTTAGCAATAAGAAAACATTTCTTTTAATTAAGATTACTTATTCCAAGTAAATATTAAAAAATATGCATTTATTTTTTTTTAATATATGGGCAGAAATAAATTGATAACTTTTTTTTATTATATTGATAGATGAAGAAATTAAACATTTGTGAGGAAGAAAGGGATTGTGTTGTTTTTTATTATTACATTGATAGATGAAGAAATTAAACATTTGTAAGGAAGAAAGGGATTGTGTAGTTTTTATTAGATATAAAGAATATGTTTAAGATAATGTATGTACTGTTTTCATCAAAGTCAGAGTATGAATAAACAAATGGAGATAAATATAGAGTCGGCATAATAGAATATAATCTCTTGATTCATTTGATTAATGATATACTCTAACTGTTCTGTGTAATTTGTGTCTGTATTTTCTGGACAATGATGCACAAATAATGCATTTTGCAAGTTTATTATATATTGTACAAAGAGAGTTTTAAAAACAAATTATAAGATAAATATAGTATTGTTCTAAACACAAGTAAATTTATTTCATAATACAACAGGGTAAACGTAATACTTGCTGTAATACATAATAAATAATAAAATATCACAAATAAATGTACAATGTAGCAATTAGATCTATGTTTCAAAAATTTGTGATGCTTCATTACTATAAAAATGACTTTTTCTATCTATTTATTTATGGAATATTAACTTTCTTGTCGCTAAAATTGTTTTCTTTTGCATATTCTTTTAATATTTATTTGGAAGAAATAATTTGAATAAAAAAAAAATGTTTTCTTGTCGCTAAATATATTCTTTTTGTCGCTAATTAGTGAGACCAAAAATTTCTATCCGTTTGATAAGCTATTCAATTAAAGGTTCTGATGTGGTCAGTAAAGTATAGACTTGAGTCGATCAACAATTGCTTTATTTGTTGTAATTTTGATTAATTTCTCAGAAGTTATCTTTTTCTAGACAAAAAATATCAAGATTTTATAATTAAATATGAAAATTAACAGTTAAATTATCTTGAAATAAAGTCACAGCAGGTCAATGTAAGCGATGCTGTAATACTGGACAAATTATAGTGTCAAATAGGCCTGGTAGCCAAGAACACTGCATTTAAGTGCATGAGGCTGTGATCTATTTATTACCAAGTCCACATCTTCCTAGAGGTATTGCTTTCAGTTGAATAGGCGAAGGTCTTTCAAACCCAGCAGATTTTAACCCTTTCAGTATAGGATCTGAGAGTAAAAGACCATCAAAATTGACATTTTCGCTAATTAAAACATCTCCAGTTCTGGCTTTTTCTTTCAAATTGTGTGCAACAGATGTCATTGCTCTCAAACAACTTTAGCAGCGGCTTCAGTGCTAGCAAGAGAGTGGCGTGCTAGATTTCGTACACCGTCGTTGTCTGTTCGAAACGTTTCCGTTAAACTACTTTTTATTGGCTAAACGCTAATTTTTAAACAAATAAAAAAGAGTCTTTCAAAATCCATTTGGAATGCTCTATGTCGTTCAATACTACAGTTGCCGGTCTAGAGTGTATCGAAAGACCGATTAGCTTCCGCTTTGGAGAAAATTTTGGTAATATTTGACAGAAATGTCCCATCAAACAGGAATTACAGGTAATAGGTTGTATTTTTCAGTTTAAATATTGAACAGCTTGAGCCATTTACATGAAAAAACATCAGAGTAAACAAGCTTTAATCTTCCCTTTATCAAAAAATATATATTGAAAAGTGGGTGGGTCTTTGACTTTGTCGAGTTAACTTGGCTCTGACAGTCACATGGAATATGTAGATATCATAAACGGGTATATTATATGAATGTGCATTTATGGCCTTGGCATATAATACCTATGGAATATACAGAAAGATACTCCAGAAAAAAATTTAGCTACAATTACCAAATAATATATATAAAAAGGATAACAGGATCCAAAAATAAATGTCAAAAATAGTGGAAGGCTAAAACAGACCGTACCTTCTAAACCGATTCAATTCTAACCTGCTTCTTGTGTATGGAATGGTGTAGACATATGAGTGCCAGTTACAGGTGAGGTAGTTGGCAAAAAAATTCCTAAATAGACTTAATGGAAGGGCTTGATAAGGGATTCTGAGGGTGGCCAAATTAGAAAATAACTCTGGACACAGATTCCTAAAAGGGATTATATCATAATGTAATCTCTTCTTCAAGAATCTATATAGAACTATAAGGTCAGTCCAGGGTAATACTTTAATGTACAAGTTATTTTAACAGTACAGATAAATAATTTTGGAGGTACGGAAATTCCCTTACTTATCCAAATTCTTTTGACTATTGCAAAATTGTAACAAATTCATATTTTCTTCGCTCCTTGAATTTCACTTAAAACTGCATTGCTCTAATCATGCTAATAGAGTGTTTGATTGTCTTTATCATGTTTATAGTTATTCATTAAATTACAATTTCATGGACACTGGCCATGGAAATCTCCATTGTCTTGTTATTTTCAAAATACTGCCTACATTTTATATTTCCAAGCCTAAAGTGAGCAATTGTTGATTGCCTTGCACAATTGCTTTTTAAGGTAGCACTACAGTCTAACAATGATTTTTTGAAGATATTTTTTTTATCACATAATTTTGAAGTAAGTATTATTCTGCACAGTTTGTAAAAATCCCAAAGTCATTATCATATCACAACAGGGAGTAAATTGATAATGAACGTATGTAAATAAAAGCACATGTAATTAATCTAAATATATAGGCATTTGGGTGGGGCTAATATGTCAATCATCTGTTGATACCAGTGTCCAGCTGTTAATCGGTGACCACAAGATAAATATCTCATTGCATTGCAACAAAACTAATTTATAAAACATGGAAGTTTAGAACAGAGAAAAAGAAAAAGATATGAATAGGAAAAAATTTAAAGGGAAGAAATCTACCAAAATGAAAAAAAACTATGGAAAAGAGTGTGAAAGTATCTTTGAAAGCCTCTGACTGCCTGTATAAATTTCTCGTCTTTGGTATTCTACATTTAAAAATAATTTTAGACATTTTAACTAATTTTAAGTTTATGTGAAATTTTTTAATTCCATGAAACTCATAAATCATGTTGGACAGTCTATTTTCAAGAAGGGGATGGTCTTGATCTTTTTATGGACATGTATTTTAATTTTAATATTTTAGCTAATTTCAGTCATCATGGTCATATTATATTTCTTTTTAAAATTCAAATGAAAATTATTCTTTATAGTGAGAATAATGATGTTAAATATCAATTATGATGCAGCTGGCCAATCCTGTTATTCTCTTATCTTAGACTGTCTGGACAGAGGCGGAGCTTTGTCTTTATTTAATTACTACATCACAGATGTTGGTCAAATCTGTGACGTCAAACTCCCGCCAAATGCCAAGTTAGTGTTATACAGTGCACACAAAATGCAAATTTTACAGCATTAGAGCATCAAAGACACAATGTGTGTGGTTCTATTGATAAAGTAATGGTGTCAGAACACTCCTGGGGTGTTCCCAGTGGAATTTTTGTATTTATGTGGCATTTATAGGGGTTCTTAAGAGGAAATTCAGTTTTAAGGTCATTTCTCAGAACAATTTTTCATGAGAATTGTAAGGAAAAAATGAAAATAGAAACTTTATGGGTACCCCTTTGGCTTGACTTTGATATATGTGATTGAAGGGAGTATTTTCTACAATACCGTGTCCTCGTTTTTGGATAATTTGTTTCTAAATGAATTTATAGGTCTCCAAAGATGAAAGGTGAAATGAGGTTTGGCATCCAGCAGTAAAAATAATATATCTTATTACTGGAGGCATATATCAAAAATCTGAGACACGGTTTTGTAGATTGTGAATGGTTGATTAAAGGGATGAAAACAAATTTTTACTACCATTTGACCTGAATGTGCCATTTTCATCCAAGTTGGAAGACCACTTTTTTGGCAATTAATGAGCTATATTTTGAGATTAATCATACCAAAAATAAATTTATCTATAGATTAAGAAAGAGTTATATTTCAGCTTTAAAATGAGTTAAAGATTTTTAAAATCCATTCAGTAGTTTTGGAGAAATTAATCTTTAAAGACTGTTGGTTGGAGTCAGAAAATTCTGACTGTAGTGCTACCTTAATTAAGCATTTGTCCTCTTATCTAAATATCCACTGTAGAAAATCTCCATTATTGATGATTTTTTTAACCTAATCACCTTGTGCGTACTGTCTTTTTTTTTTTACTTTTTCATATGAAAACTAAATGAAATATTGTATTTTATATTTCAGCTGGAAGGGAATTATTGGAATATTTTGCAACGTGCAAAGAGGGACATGTACGATTGATAAAAATTGGTATTGCAAATGGTAAGCTTCAATATTATTCACATTGGCAATGGTTTGCTTTTACAAATTTAAACATTGATAAAAAAAAATGATTTTGTGGTTTTACAAAAGTCTGCATACAAGCCTATAATTGTATTACACAACATAGAAAACTAAAGACTGAGCAACACGAACCCCACCAAGACCTTTTGAATATAGAAACAGACTGGTCTAACAGGCTTTGATTGGCTGGTAATAACTATCGGTACTGTTATTCTTTTATTTTCGTGGATTATGGATAAATTGTTTTTTTGTGAATATTTGATTTTGTGGTTTTACAAAAGTCTGCATACAAGCCTATAATTGTTTGCTTTTACAAATTTAAACATGGATTAAAAAAATTGAATGTAGTTTTTATTATTCAAGAATAAGAATTCCAAACTTGCATAATTGGTTTCTATAAGGTATAAAACCACTAATTTATAGCCCCATTGCTTTCTATGTTAAATTCTGCAATTTCAAGCATAAATGGCTACTTTATCTTAAGTTCAAATAAAGTGGCAGTTATTTCATGTCAAAACTGTACCTTATGCTGACTTGTGCTGAAAAAATCAACATGCCTTTAATTGCATATTAGAGCGTACTGGTTCCCGGAAGTTTGATAGTACAAAAACAGGAACTTCTGATCTGAACAACAGGCCAAATGAGCCCTCCTATTAAAATTTCCTATACTTCTTTATTATTCAAATAAAACTTTCAACAAGGGTTCTACAGTGACCCCAAGTCCCCAAGCTTTCATTTGATACTAGCACTACCCAAATATTCCCACTATTGACAAAGATACAGCTATGCGTAGGAACTATTTTGTTTAAAATATGTACTACTTTCTTGTATGTTCTTTCCGACCGGGCCTGAATTAGTGGTTCTATACCTATAACAGCACCAAACTTGTTATATTGACTTCTGCTTGACTTAATTTCCTTCTATGATCTATTTCTAGCATAGAAAAACACATAAAGCTTTTGTCAAAACACTATATCACTGAATTCAAGCTCAAATTGGACTGGTAGTAACATATGCGTTAAACAAAGAAAACTACATATGGATACTAATAGTGACAGATATGACACTTTTTCAATTTTTACCAGTTCTGATTTGTTAATATCTACTCAAATAACAGTGTTCTTACCTATATGTCTTATTTTTATCAGAGATTCTTCCTTGAATATAAATACAGTGGTCCAAACATAAAATATAATTGATAATTTTGTCCCCCCTTTTTTCTACATGTTGGAAAAGGAGAGTGATTAGGTAAAAAAACCATACTTTCATGTATAAACATGAATCAACAAAGCAATTTATGTATCTCCAAGCTAGACAACTTGCTAAACTGGTTATAAAATGCATTTCAAGTGAGATTTTGGAATTCCTATATAAGTATACACCAATTTTCCTTGAAATAAATAATTCACCAAGAAACACAATAAAACATGAACACTCACTAGATAATTTGACCAAAAACAATATTTATACCATAAACTAGTCATAATATACAAGTTTCATTGGTTTCAGTGTTAGATAATCCAAAAATTTAAATTTCAGGTAAAATCTTAACTGTGTGCATGCTAAATGACCAAAAAAGGCTAAAATACCTTATTGTAGCAATTTGAGGGCTGTAATTTGACACTAACATAATTGTTACATAAAAAAAATAATGTAACATGATTTCTGACAACAAATGTGACCAATTTTCACTGTAAAGGGTATGATTTCTAAAAATAGAATTTCACATGCCTGTCAGTAATAGGTATAAAACCACTAATTTATAGCCCCATTGCTTTCTATGTTAAATTCTGCAATTTCAAGCATAAATGGCTACTTTATCTTAAGTTCAAATAAAGTGGCAGTTATTTCATGTCAAAACTGTACCTTATGCTGACTTGTGCTGAAAAAATCAACATACCTTTAATTGCATATTAGAGCGTACTGGTTCCCGGAAGTTTGATAGTACAAAAACAGGAACTTCTGATCTGAACAACAGGCCAAATGAGCCCTCCTATTAAAATTTCCTATACTTCTTTATTATTCAAATAAAACTTTCAACAAGGGTTCTACAGTGACCCCAAGTCCCCAAGCTTTCATTTGATACTAGCACTACCCAAATATTCCCACTATTGACAAAGATACAGCTATGCGTAGGAACTATTTTGTTTAAAATATGTACTACTTTCTTGTATGTTCTTTCCGACCGGGCCTGAATTAGTGGTTCTATACCTATAACAGCACCAAACTTGTTATATTGACTTCTGCTTGACTTAATTTCCTTCTATGATCTATTTCTAGCATAGAAAAACACATAAAGCTTTTGTCAAAACACTATATCACTGAATTCAAGCTCAAATTGGACTGGTAGTAACATATGCGTTAAACAAAGAAAACTACATATGGATACTAATAGTGACAGATATGACACTTTTTCAATTTTTACCAGTTCTGATTTGTTAATATCTACTCAAATAACAGTGTTCTTACCTATATGTCTTATTTTTATCAGAGATTCTTCCTTGAATATAAATACAGTGGTCCAAACATAAAATATAATTGATAATTTTGTCCCCCCTTTTTTCTACATGTTGGAAAAGGAGAGTGATTAGGTAAAAAAACCATACTTTCATGTATAAACATGAATCAACAAAGCAATTTATGTATCTCCAAGCTAGACAACTTGCTAAACTGGTTATAAAATGCATTTCAAGTGAGATTTTGGAATTCCTATATAAGTATACACCAATTTTCCTTGAAATAAATAATTCACCAAGAAACACAATAAAACATGAACACTCACTAGATAATTTGACCAAAAACAATATTTATACCATAAACTAGTCATAATATACAAGTTTCATTGGTTTCAGTGTTAGATAATCCAAAAATTTAAATTTCAGGTAAAATCTTAACTGTGTGCATGCTAAATGACCAAAAAAGGCTAAAATACCTTATTGTAGCAATTTGAGGGCTGTAATTTGACACTAACATAATTGTTACATAAAAAAAATAATGTAACATGATTTCTGACAACAAATGTGACCAATTTTCACTGTAAAGGGTATGATTTCTAAAAATAGAATTTCACATGCCTGTCAGTAATAGGTATAAAACCACTAATTTATAGCCCCATTGCTTTCTATGTTAAATTCTGCAATTTCAAGCATAAATGGCTACTTTATCTTAAGTTCAAATAAAGTGGCAGTTATTTCATGTCAAAACTGTACCTTATGCTGACTTGTGCTGAAAAAATCAACATACCTTTAATTGCATATTAGAGCGTACTGGTTCCCGGAAGTTTGATAGTACAAAAACAGGAACTTCTGATCTGAACAACAGGCCAAATGAGCCCTCCTATTAAAATTTCCTATACTTCTTTATTATTCAAATAAAACTTTCAACAAGGGTTCTACAGTGACCCCAAGTCCCCAAGCTTTCATTTGATACTAGCACTACCCAAATATTCCCACTATTGACAAAGATACAGCTATGCGTAGGAACTATTTTGTTTAAAATATGTACTACTTTCTTGTATGTTCTTTCCGACCGGGCCTGAATTAGTGGTTCTATACCATAAATGTTAAAAAAAAAATGAAAGAAAAACTGGGCAGAAGAAATAACAACGACAATTCAAATCTCCATGAAATGAAATACAGTCAATACCTATTTAAATTGGGTCAAAGATCATGAAGATGGATGAATTTAAATATAAAGTAATATTTAACCCTAATCTGGATGAGAACAGGGTACATTTATAAATTCCAACCCTGTTTTGTACCACACTGTGCACACTAACATGCATGGATGAACTGTAAACATGATGGCTCAAATGTCAAGTGTTTACAGAAAGATATAGCACTACAACTCTATGTCAAAGAGAGGCGAAAGATACCAAAGGGACATTCAAACTCAGAAGTCAAAAATAAACTGACAACGCCATGGCTAAAAAAGAAAAAAGACAAACAGACAAACAATAGTACACAAAACACAACAAAGAAAACTAACATGACAAAAGTCTGAGCAACACGAACCCAATCAAAAACTGGGGGTGATCTGAGGTGCTCTGGAAGGGTAAGCAGATGTTGCGCATGTTAATACAAACCCAGTAATAAGTCTAATTCGATAGGTCACTTTCGGGAAAAGGGTACAGCATTGTAGTAACGACATTAGGAACATATCTGCTATCATCTGTGAAACAAATATTCCAAAACGGTCAACCAACTCGTGATGCAGGCGTCTGTAAAATTCACGAAGGGATGATTTCAACTTCACCACTTGGAACTCTTTGTTTAAAAGCTTCCTTGTGAGTAGCAATCCTCTATCAAGGAAATCATGATAGAAAATACAAGCCATGGAATATCGTATCAACTGGGAGATTTATACTCCATATGTAGGCGCTGCTGGAATGTTGCTACATAGAAATGGAAAGTTCATATTGGGAAGCTGAAATCATCTCTTTTGTCCTAAAGTTTTGTTTTCAACCGACCCTCATTGTCAATTTCTAAATGTAAGTCAGGATATGAGGCAGACTTAACTGTATCTGTTGTATCCTTTATCTCAAGTTCGATGGAATAGATGCGTTCAACATAGTCACCAAATTTTGAATTATTTAGTGAGAGAACCTGTCTTTGATAATACTCGTAAAGTTGAATGCTTAGCAGAGGAGCACAAAATATTTGTTCAAGTTTTAATTTCACCTAGCCATGATCAATTTATTCTTCATCAGCTGGTATGCAAGTTATATCATATCCAAGGAGATAATTGAACCATAAAATATACAAAGTACAAATACAAATAATAGAATTTTATATAAAAATGCCTCTATCTTATGACTTGATTTCAGTTATCTTAAAACATTTTCTTTTGTATTGTTTTGCAGAGGAACTGGTGTTACAAGACAGTAAAGATGTGGATGGGACATGGGAAGATGATATCCTTTGTTATTTATGTACAAATGTATTATAAGAAAAGCCACAATTAACCTTTGATTAAAAATGTGACAATGTGTGAGATCAAAGAACATGAATACATGCACTTCGTTTTCTTCAAGACATGATTTAAAAAAAAATCAATTTTCAGTTTTAAAATGTCTAGTCATTCATGATAGTTTGTATAACATTATTAGTTATGAATCCACTTTATATAGATTGTGAAATCCACTTTATATCCATTATGGAATCCACTTCATATCCATTATGGAATCCACTTCATATCCATTATGGAATCCACTTTATATCCATTATGGAATCCACTTCATATCCATTATGGAAACCACTTTGTATCCATTATGGAATCCACTTTATATCAGTTATGAAATCCTCTTCATATCCATTATGAAATAGTTTACATGTAGATTATAATTTATTTGAACTGAATATTCCTTGACAAGCGTACATTACGACAAATTCGTATTACCAGCACTTGAAGAAAAACAGCCCTGTTATATCCTATTTAGACTAGACAGTAAAAACAACCTGGGATATCAGTTTATATTTATCTGTTGGTCTCCAGACTTCTCACCTGTAAGTTGTAATTATTTTTAGAATTTATGTAAAAAATATAATTCAGTTATCTAACTGCATAAAACTTAGAAGGGGAGATAATCTAAATTTTCTCCTTTTGGTTTTTAAAATAAACAGGATTGATACTGTTTTTTGTCAAATTGTTTACACATGAAGGAGTGTATAAATAATGTATATTATTCAAAACTTATTTATTGGAAATATCTCATTGCCTTTATCTTAAACAATTTGATTTTTGGCATTATGAAAAACACATGTTTCCTGAATATGGTGTCCAGTTGTTGAAAATGCTTGTTATTAGCCACAGGTTACTGCTGAACTATTTGATGATGTATTTCATAAAAAAAAGGCTAATTTTGCTTGTTGTTTATAGTTTTGCCATGGATTTTTAATTACCTGTTATAAATATAGGAACAAACTGGTCTAACAGGCTTTGATTGGTTGGTAATAACTACTGTTATGTTACTGTTATACTATTCTTGCAATGGGTAGCTAGTAAACAAAGGTTATATTGATTTTATGGTTAAAAAACAAGCAGACATAACTTTGTACACACTCAGGAATATTTGCTGTAAATCTTTCATATACAGTAGAGCATTTTCTTCAAAAATATTAGCACAAATCAAATTCACCATTATTGTATCATAAACAGTTCTCATCTGGAAGATACAAGATATTTGAAGCTACTCAGCTGCATGGGAATATTTAAAAGGAACTGAAAACTTAATTTTATTTTTGATTAACTGTTATTAATAGAATATATACTAAAATGGTTACTGTGAATTCATTTATTTTCTTAGATTACGGATAAATTGGTTTTTTTTTGTGAAAATTTGATTTTGTGGTTTTACAAAAGTTTCATACACGCCTTTAAATTTTTTACTTCGTTGAACAGGTAAATTTGTGGTTCACCTATGACAACAAAAACCACAAAAATTTGTATCCCACAAATTATGAATCACAGTATACTATTTTTCCAAAGTTCATCTTACATTTGTCTTAGTCATTGTTTTTGAATATCATTTTATCAGTCCTTCAATATAAAAGCACAGTTCAGCATATTGTTTACCAACAAATTCAAAAATGTTTATGCTAAGCTAATGTTGCATTCAACCATGTTCCAGATTTTTACTCATATCAGACTCAGATTATAACATCACAATTAATATTTATTTGTGTAAATAATTTTGAACATTCTTTCTTCATATGATTTTGTATTACAAAAATAAAAACGTTCAACTCACAAAGATATGGAAACTGAAATAAACACTTTAAGTCATTTTTAAACTAAGCAAAAGCTTAATTGAAATTTCATTGTGACTTCATATTGCAAAGTCAGTTCAAAATTAAATACCTTCATGCATTTTATTAATGAATTGAAATTAACTGTATATTATGAACAGAATAAATAGATTTTCTATTCAGTCTCAATATCATCGTTGGGACCCATATCAGCCCCTTATCTAACACCTCAGACTGATATTGGGGTCTTGGAACAACATCTGCACTGATCTGAAATATAATGTGTAGTTTTCTATATTTATCACAACTACAATTGTAGTACATGTATATGTTTTATATTGCAGAGTGTAAGTTCCTCATACATGTAAGAGGATGTATGTATTAAAACAATCATGAGCTATGTATATTTCAGTACTGTCTATATGTATACAGCATGTTTAATGGTATTGTGTATATGATATACTGCATTGGTCAATAGTATTTTTTTAATGGTTAGGTATTACTGATATACCTTGCTTTCTCCTAATTTTTGTCTCGCCTTGACGGAGTCAAAAAGCGACACATAGGTATCCTGTTTCCGGCGGCGGCGGTGTCAACAATTTATTAGTTTGTGATTAGGTCTAGTTCATGGTGAACCACTAGTGGTAGGTCAATGATATTTGGTATGCAGTAGTATTTGCATTAACACATCTCATTATTATGAAGTTTATTTGGCCCCGCCCCCTCAGTCAAGGTCTATTGACTTTGAAACTTTGCTTAGTTTACATGTATTAGTTTGTGATTAGGTCAGTTTATGGGGAACCACTAGTGATAGGTCAATGATATTTGGTATGCAGTTGTATTAACATTGGCACATCTCATTACCATGGAGATTATATAGCCCTGCCCCCTCAGTCAAGGTCTATTGACTTTGAAACTTTGCTTAGTTTACATGTATTAGTTTGTGATTAGGTCAGTTTATGGGGAACCACTAGTGGTAGGTCAATGATATTTGGTATGCAGTTGTATAAGCATTGGCATATCTCATTTCCATGGAGATTATTTGGCCCTGCCCCCTCATTCATGGTCTATGGCTTTGAAACTTTTGCTTAGTTTTCATGTATTAGTTTGTGATTAGGTCAGTTTAAGGGTAACTGTTAGTGGTAGGTCAATGATAATTGGTATGCAGTTGTATAAGCATTAGCACATCTCATTTCCATGGAGAATATTTGGTCCTTACCCCTCAGTCATGGTCTATTGACTTTGAAACTTTTTCTTAGTTCACATGTATTGGTTTGTGATTAGGTCAGTTCAAGATGAACCACTAATGTTAAGTCAATGATATTCGGTATGCAAATGTATTGGCATTTGAAAGTTTTATTTCCATGGAGATTATATAACCCCACCCCCTAATTATGGTTCATTGACTTTGAAACTTTTACATAGTTTACAAGTTAATGTTTGTGTTTAGGTTTGTTTAAAGGGAACGACTTATGAAAAGTCAATGGTATTTGGTGTGCATTTGTATTAGCATTGGCACATCTCATTTCCATGGAGATTGTTTAGCCCTGTACCTTTAGTCATGGTTCATTGACTTTGAATATTTGCATAACTTACATGTTAAAGTATTGCTATTTTAATTTCAACATTTGCATTATCAAAATAACAAATAGGCGAGACATATCTCTGTGTTAACAGTTTATTTATTATCTGTTATCTGTCGTACTTCTGTTTTTCTAATATTTTTTTCCCAGTCTCATATACAGTACATAAAGTGTACCATAATTTCTGTTAATAAGTGTCACTGGATTAAAAGTTAAAGGGCTGTAGTTTTTAGAGAAAAAGACTAATTTCATTCTTAAAGTGTACAGCTGGGTTCTCAAATTGGATTATTACAGGTGATTTCAGGGACTTCTCAGATTTGGCGAGGATAAATCTTAATTTCTTAAGAGAAACATTACAAATGCCTTAATTCATAGTTTTTAATCTTCTAATCAAAACAATCTATTAAAATAAAAGAATAATTTTTGGTTAATATTTTAAAACTTTTGTAATGAAATGATGAAGACTAACTCTGAAACTATTTTAATGCATATTTGGGACTTACAATTTCAGAATAATGAGTCTAGTCTGATTTGCCTAAGTCTAGGACTGAGGGACTTGTCCTAATAAGAACCATGTGTATATTTTATGGCATGAGCCCTAATTGAAAATCATTTTTGTCTGATTTTTTTTTTTATTTATTTTTGTGCTACATCATGTCTGTATGTGCTACATATTTAATTTTCTGTGTACCATATGATTTTCATAATTTTTCTGTTTGCATATAAAGGAGATATTGGGATATATTTCAATGAGACCGCAACCCAAAAAATAAATACAACCAGAAATGACATCAATGCATTATATTTGAGTTTATTGAAATTGTAATACACTGATTTCCAATCAGAGGATGAAAAAGTCAAATTCCATATTTATATTAATGACAAGTGAAAAATGTTCCATTGTTAGTAATACGTTTAACATTCCTTTGATTTTTTTAGTCAGTAGCTTTTCTAAATTCAACCATCTTGTCATGACATGTTCAATATAATATCTTGCATTCTGCATTCATTTTGAACTTAAATGCTGATGTCTAAAATTTCTCCTGTGCCATGTTTTGATTTTACAGTTAAATACCTTATATAATCACATTTCTTATCCTTTCCCTTTCAAAACTTGTGTATAAAATATGAAAAATGAGAAATGTTTGTGTCTGTTTCTATGTTGAATATCTTATGTCCTGCAGTTTCACATTAGTTAATTCTGTTAAAAATCTCTGTTGTAAGTGTTGACTGATTCACAGTGAAACTGGATAATTGCTGGTGATTGATGGAATTTAACAGCTAGTGACCCTATCATTTCATAGTGAAACTCTCACACAAAAAAAAACAGTATTTAATGAAAACTCACAAAAAAGTGATTTATAACTGGATTACTACTATATAAGATTTATTAGTAACGGTAATCAGCAAAGTCATGCTTATCGATTTAAGTTTTTTAAAAGTAGCATTGTTCTAATTCAAATTATATTTTATATTTTGTAATCAATTCATCAGTAGCGCTGTAATACCGGATAAATTTCAACTGTAAAACTGAAAATACTTGCTGATGGTATTAAAATACTATTTATAAGTTTATACATTATCCTTTTTATTTTTGATCATATAGCAATTTTGGATACCACAAAGCAAAACATGTACTATCATATTGATAACATTGGGATAATATGATCTCTGCTCACAGTTTTTGTAGTGTTGATTTAAAATGTAGAAAGTTTTGCCTATCACAGTTCAAAGCTGGAATATTTATGATTGTTGGTATATGTGAATCTTGGAAACAGAACAGTTATTATATGAGAATATGCCTGTCCCAAGTCAAAATGGCTATACACATTATATCTCATGCATCACTTCAAAACCCCTTGAAAATTTTGCAAATGAGATACACAGGTCTCACTTTTTATCTTTTTAATGTATAATGACTTTTTAAGATAAAAGAGAAGATGTTATATGCAGGAACCAAATCCACACTAAAACAAGAATTTGGTGGAGGTTTAATAAAAGATGAAATGTTTGGTACAGAAAAGGTAATTATACAATTTAATCAAAACAGTACTATTAGACAGGTACTTTGTGTCTTTTATTTTTTATATTAGTTGTTTTTGTTCCTCTTCCCAATCTAATGAGTTAAGCCACTTCCCACTGAATTTTACAGTTTGTTCTTGTGTTGTGCTGTTTAACCACTGTCCTAGATTAGGGGAGGGTTGAGGGCTCACAAACCTGTTTTACCTCATCCCTCTATGTGTCTGTCCCTAGTCAGTAGCCTGTAATTAAGTGGTTGTCATTGGTTCATATAAATAAGAAGATGTGGTATGAGTGCCAATGAGACAACTCTCCATCCAAGTCACAATGTATAAAAAGTTAACAATTATAGGTCGAAGTAAGGCCTTTAACACAGAGTCGTGGCTCACACCGAACAGCAAGCTATAAAGGGCCTCAAAATGACTAGTGTAAAACAATTCAAACAGGAAAACCAACGGTTTAATCTATATAAAAAATGAGAAACACTTATGAACCACACCAACATACGACAACCACTGAACAGGATCCTGTCTGAAATATTTGTTTTTCATTTATGTTTTGTTATTAATCAGGCCGTTGGTTTTCTCAATTGAATCGATTCACATTTTCAAAGATTTTTGGTACAGTTCAATGAGATATCAAATAAATGACACTAAAAACTAAAAGTCATTTAATTTAGAGGTCAACATAAAGTCGTTAACAATAATTATTTCCATACAGTGTATCAACGTCAAATTTGACAGAGACTGTAAAGATCTGCGACTCAATTCACAAAAAATCGTACGAATAAAAATACTCTATAGTCATGAACTTTATATGATAAATCATTGTCATAAGATTTTTTGTGAAAAGAGCCTCGGGCATCAACACTAAATTCTCTGAATGACAAGTAGAAGTAAACATGATAAAAGACAACTACTGAGAAGGTTCCAGACTTGAGATAGGCACATGAATACATGTACATAGTGTTGTTACATTGGTTTTATGAAGTCTCAACCCTCTATAGAATGTGTAGCTTGAACACAAGTAGCTTAATTAGTTAATTAGTTTAGCTGATTAAGATAATAGATACATTTCTGTTTGTTCTTTTGTTAATTATCAACTTTTAAATTCAACCCACCTTAATTTGAGGGACTTAAGCTTTTACTTTTGTTTGTGTTCAAAATAAGACATAAACATAACAACTGTTGTTTTTGTGTTTAAAATTTGACATAAACATAGATACTGGTGTGGTTGTGTTAGAATTTGACATAAACATAGATACTGGTGTGGTTGTGTTAGAATTTGACATAAACATAGTTACTGGTGTGGTTTTGTTAGAATTTGACATAAACATAGATACTGGTGTGGTTTTGTTAGAATTTGACATAAACATAGATACTGGTGTAGTTTTGTTAGAATTTGACATGAAACATAGATACTGGTGTGGTTTTGTTAGAATTTGACATAAACATAGATACTGGTGTGGTTTTGTTAGAATTTGACATAAACATAGATACTGGTGTGGTTTTGTTAGAATTTGACATGAAACATAGCTCTGTTGTGTTTGTGTTAGAATTTTACATAAACATAGATACTGGTGTGGTTTTGTTAGAATTTGACATAAACATAGATACTGGTGTGGTTTTGTTAGAATTTGACATAAACATAGATACTGGTGTGGTTTTGTTAGAATTTGACATGAAACATAGCTCTGTTGTGTTTGTGTTAGAATTTGACATAAACATAGATACTGGTGTGGTTTTGTTAGAATTTGACATAAACATAGATACTGGTGTGGTTTTGTTAGAATTTGACATAAACATAGATACTGGTGTGGTTTTGTTAGAATTTGACATAAACATAGATACTGGTGTGGTTTTGTTAGAATTTAACATAAACATAGATACTGGTGTGGTTTTGTTAGAATTTGACATAAACATAGTTACTGGTGTGGTTTTGTTAGAATTTGACATAAACATAGATACTGGTGTGGTTTTGTTAGAATTTGACATGAAACATAGCTCTGTCGTGTTTGTGTTAGAATTTTACATCAACATAATTACCGTTGTGGTTTTTGTTTTTGTGTCTTTAAAAATGTTAAGTTTATGTGATACTTGTAGTAAAACCTTTATCTTTAAGACATTCAACATAAAATCAATGGTCTGTAAAGCAGGCGAGACATTTTAGCGTGTGCACTCTTGTGTTAGAATTTGACTTGAAACATAGCTCTGTTGTGTTTGTGTTAGAATTTAACATAAACATAGCTACTGTTGGTTTTGTCTTAGAATTTTGACATAAAACATAGCTACTGAACACCAAACAATGTCATAATGGGTAGCAAAGTGACTAGGGGACCATGGCAATAACTGAATTATTAGAAGAACATGGAAGATGATTATGTTAATGACAGGCTATAAATATCTTTTGTTTTTTAGGCAGATGTCTCATTAAATGGTTACAAGAAACATGTAGTAGCACAGCATGCTCCAGCACCGTTAACTGAAGCAGAAGAAGAAAAACAACACATCAAAAGGACTGAGGTAAAGAGTGTTTTGTATGTACTTTGTGACTGGATAAACCCTCCCCTACATATTTTTAGTTATTTTTTTGACTGTTCATTGTTTATGTAATAATATAATATTTGCATAAAGGTTTCAACAAAAGTTACTAGATGAATGCTTCTCTGATAAAATCAGACAGTACTTACTCTTTGTGCCACTTATGTGAAGTAAAATTGTAATTGTTTTACAATACATGGCTATTTAACTACAACATGAACGATGGTTTTCAGCATGTAAACATATGAGATGATTTTAATCAACTTAATATTTTAAAAGTCTTTTATTTTTATGCCCCACCTAGGGGCATTATGTTTTTCGGTCTGTGCGTTTGTCCGTCTGTTCGTCCGTCCATTCAGTGTTCTGCTTCAGGTTAAAGTTTTTGGTTGCTTCAGGTTAAAGTTTTTGGTCATGGTAGTTTTTGATGAAGTTGAAGTCCAATCAACTTGAAACTTAGTACACATGTTCTCTATGATATAATCTTTCTAATTTAGATCAAATTTTGCCAAATTAGAGTTTTGACCCCAGATTCACGGTTCACTGAACATAGAAAATGATAGTGCGAGTGGGGCATCCGTGTACTATGGACACATTCTTGTTTAGTGTTGCTATTATGATGTATCATTGGCATATACCCCACAATACTGTTTATTCATATTAAGTATATTATTAAAGAAGTTTCCTAAAATAATCACTATTATTACTGTTTGAATGAACCTAAAATGTTCTAATATATACATGAAAATACTATGAATTCAGTCATTTTCGTAATGTATTTGTTATTGTGAAAACTGGGGATGGAATAGGTTTCCAAAAATATATAACTCCCTTTGATAGCATTATTTTTTTGCACCTTTTTCTCAAATCTTGCATTTTGTCCATTGCACATCAATCACAATATTAAATGCAACTAAAATTTCAGAATTAACTGTACTATACTAATATTTTATAATATAGCAGATGGTCAAAATGATGGTAGGTACATCTTGAAACGATGTAAGTAATCTGCATTAAAGAATTGTATTCTGCATGGTATTACGAACCTTTACAATGCTCTGAGAGGTACAGTGACTTGAAAAACATGAATTTATTACCATGAATCCTGTGAAAGCCGACACCTTTTCTAACACCCAGTTTTATTCAGATTGTAAAGGTGGTTGATTTGCACAGAAAGAAATACTAAAGAATTTTTTTCATTTAATGTCCTGAAACGAAATCCACTCGACACAGTTCACAATTTATGTAGGGTTTAGATTGTTTTTACTGTAATATATCTGCAAATTGAATTAAAATAAGAATAACTAAAGAATGACAAATATTGGACTAAATTGTAAATTGCACTAAGAATACCAAACACAAACTATAGGGAACAACATTTTATTTGATAATGTAGAAAAGGAAATGAAGGTCATATCAATGATACAGAAACTCAATAACACATAAAATCAAAATAAGATATCTAGATTCATATACTTGCCTTTAACTTTGACAAGCCATCATTCCATATGACAGAGTTCTTGACAAATTCTTGTAAAAACAAATATTTGACACAAGTACCAATTTCTCAACAGGCATAAAAATTGAAGAGACAAAACACTATATTCTTTATTTGCGTCAGGAACATGATGCAGGGTTAACCCACTTTTCTGAGTATTAAACCCTTTTTCACTGTGGATGGTCTGTTTAAGTATTAGCACAAACTTTTTTGTGTATCTAGACAATATGTTTTTAAAATAAAACCTAGTGTGTAACATTAAAACAGAGCAGCTTAGTTTGACTTCACCCTTCCTGATATATAAAACAAAATTTTTATATATATTATAGAATATTGATTTGTTAAAAATTTGAATAAACTCATGTCAAAGATATATGTCATCTTCTTAAGTTTCATTCATATTACATATGCATTTCCTCAGCAACTACTGAGCCCTTTCCACTTATTGTTTTCCTTGTATATTATTTGATGTTGTTAAATCATATACTGCTCCAACTAACAAGGAACAAAATTGTAGTGCAAAACTCTTTTTAGGTATTGCTTTTGTTGTTGCTTTGTTGTTGTAGTACAACTTTACATTGTACAACAACTTTTAACATTAAGGAATGCTCCAGTAATTTATTAAGATCGACATGTTTCGGTGGATAGGCCACCATCATCAGGATAGAAAACAATACATAAAATCATCAACCCGATTTTGTACCTCAGCATGATTTTATGTATTGTTGTCTATCATGATGACGGTGGCCTAGCCACCGAAACATGTCGATCTCAATAAATTACTGGAGCATTCCTTAGAGTGTTGTTGTTACTGGACCTTCTACATTTTATGTTTTTATCGTAACGACCCTGCATACCCGAGGTATCCACTTTATGGAATCTACTGACAGAATATTTACCAGGCGTTGGTTCACTTGTGTTTAAATTTTTTAAACATTATACACGGGTCTAAGATAAAAAAAAATCACCATAATATAACTTTTTTTTTCTGTTAGCAAAATGCAATGAAAACACAATTGTGCTTTTTCTGTCTGCTAATTGTTTAATTTGTCCTTTGTTATTTGCATGTCACAAGTTACAGTTATGAGCTATTGTTTAGTTTGAATGAAATGTAAGAATTGTCTAGGTTAAACAAACATGTCAGTATTTACTTTTACCCCTATTCTAGATATTTTGGTCTGGAGCTAAGTCAGTATAAGTCATAGAGGAAAGATATTTTATCAATAAACATATCTTAGATGATAATAAAGTGGTTAATAGCAGTTTTACAACACGGAACTTTTAAGCATGACTTTGAGATACAGAGAAAATATGAGGCTTAGCCTTGCATTTTGCTTGTCATGTCTGTTGCTTGATGAATCCTGAAGTATTTTTTTGCTCTGTTGATGATTTTTACACCATCACATGCAGTGTATCTTTATTCAGTATTGGTATATAAAAATAAGAAGATATGGTATGATTGGTAATGGGTCAACTCTCTACCTGAGACCAAGTGACATGGAAGTTAACGTCTACAGGTCACCATAGTCCTCAACAGTGATCAAAATCCATACTGCATAGTCACATGTATTTTTATCACTAAGAGGTTTTTTCCTACTGCCAAATTAGTCGATGTATGATTGGCTTTTCATGGAGAAATGTAAAGTTCCCATTGAATGAATTCCATAGAGAACAATAGTTGTTGTATTTATTCTATAGGACAGTTCAATTGGCAGAAATTGTCAATGCAAGGTAAACACCAACTGATTTTGGGGAAAGGTTTTATTTCCTCTACAATAAATGCTTTATTTTTCTTGTAGTCAATTTGGTGTTGATTGCAAATGGTCTTTGTTAAAAATTTATTCACAACTTTTCTGACATATTATGCTAATGTTGTGATTATCATTAATTAGTAGAGTTTGACTGTGATTAATAGTAATTTAGATTCATTCAAAAAAATTAAAAAATGACTACACTGTGAAAGATTATCTTAGAGTAGAGTTAAATCTGTGTTTAAAGGTCACCTTTTGGAGCAGGTAAAACTGACCTCATGATAGCAGTGACCTTTGAATTAGGGTTCAAAATGCATAGGTTTTACTACAGTGTCACAGGAGGAGAGCTTATTTACAGATACATGCCAAGACAGGTTTTCGCTTAATAGAGTTGAAATTTATAGCAGGTTTTTTTTTACTGTAATTTACTGACAATTTTAGCTAAGCTTAGCCAGGGTAAATTATATATATTGAATGAATAAAATATTTTTATGCCCCACCTAGGGGCATTATGTTTTTTGGTTTGTGCGTCCGTTTCGTCATGTTCTTTCGTCCGTCTGTCCCACTTCAGGTTAAAGTTTTAGGTCAAGGTAGTTTTTGATGAAGTTGAAGTCCAATCAACTTGAAAATTAGTACATCTGTTCCCTATGATATGATCTTTCTAATTTTGATGCCAAATTAGAGTTTTGACCCCAATTTCAGGGTCCACTGAACATAGAAAATGATAGTGCGAGTGGGGCACCCGTGTACTATGGACACATTCTTGTTCAAATATAATACAATTTTTTATGTAATTCCAGATCAATACAGCTAGTGTGGATACCAAACAGCAAACCATATCAGGAGTAGCCTTTCCCATATCACAACAAGCTTTGAATAAAATTGAGGCATTAGGACAGGGCCAATTTAATTACCTGCAGCTGGTAAGTTACAAAGTTTCAATTAGGGATGATACTGCCAGGTTAGATAAAGCAACTGTTATGAGGTGACAAAAGCTTACATAGATGTTATAGAAAGGACAAATAAATACTGTCTATTCAGAAATTATTGTGAGGTTTTTATATTTTTGCGGTCGTATATTGGTATGACGTTGGCGTCGTCCTCGTCGTCCGGCGTCGTCCGAAGACACATTAGTTTTCGCACTCTAACTTTTGTTTAAGTGATTGGATCTCTATGAAATTTTACCATAAGGTTCAATACCACAAAAGGAAGGTTGGGATTGATTTTGGGGGTTATGGTACCAACAGTTAAGGAATTAGGGGCCAAAAATAAGCATTTTTGTAACTTCCAGACATAACTTGTGTGTTAGTGTATGGATCTCTCTGACATTGTACCACAAGGTTCCATATCATAAAGGGAATGCTGGGATTGATTTTGGGGGTAATTGCCTCAAAATATTAGGAATTAGGGGCCAAAAAAGGGGCAAAAAACAAGCATTTTTCTAGTTTCATGACAATAACTTGTGTGAAAGTGTATGGATCTTTCTGAAATTGTACTACAAGGTTCCATATCACAAAGGGAAAGCTGGAATTGAGTTTGGGGGTAATTGCCCAAAACGTTTAGGAATAAGGGGCCAAAAAGGGGCCAAAAATAAGCATTTTTCTAGTTTCCAAACAATAACTTGTGTTCAAGTGTATGGATCTCTCTGAAATTGTACCACAAGGTTCCATATCACACAGGGAATGCTGGGATTGATTTTGGGGGTAATTGCCTCAAAATTTTAGGAATTAGGGGCCAAGAAAGGGGCAAAAAACAAGCATTTTTCTAGTTTCATGACAATAACTTGTGTGTAAGTGTTTGGATATTTCTGAAATTGTACTACAAGGTTCCACATCACAAAGGGAAAGCTGGAATTGAGTTTGGGGGTAATTGCCCGAAACGTTTAGGAATTGGGGGCCAAAAAACACATTTTTCTAGTTTCCAGACAATAACTTGTGTTCAAGTGTATGGATCTCTCTGAAATTGTACTGCAAGGTACCATACCACAAAGGGAAGGCTGGGATTGAGTTTGGGGGTGATGAATCATAAGGGGGTTCAAAAAATTTGGGGGGGGGGGAATTTTTTTTTTTCCTTTTTTTTCTTTTTTTCCTTTTTTTTTTCTTTTAAAATTTTCCTTTTTAAGTTGGTTATTTCTGATTAATATTTAAAAGCAAATAAGAATGATATGGTAGGAGATACACACCAAACAGGATGTGTAAATTATTATATAATAAGTATTGTGCAATAGCAAGAAATTTTCAATTGCACAGTATTGCACAATAGGGAGAAATCTTCAATTGCACAGTATTGCGCAATAGCAAGAAATCTTCAATTGCACAGTATTGCGCAATAGCAAGAAATATCTAATAGCACAATATTGCGCAATAGCAAGAAATTGTCAATTGTGCAGTATTGCGCAATAGCAAGAAATATTCAATTGCACAGTATTGTGCAAAAGAAGATACTTCGTATAAATTGCTTATTTCTTGACCAATTTCAATGGGGTTTTATTCTTGAATTCTTGGGGTTGTTTAATATGCTGAATCTAACCATGTATTAAGTTTTTGGATTTTGGGCCCCGTTTTTAAATTGGTCCACATTGAGGTCCAAAGGGTCCAAAATTAAACTTTGTTTGATTTCATCAAAAATTGAATATATGAGGTTCTTTGATATGCTGAATCTAACCATGTATTTAGATTTTTGATTTTTGGGCCCCGTTATCAACTTTGTCCACATTGAGGTCAAAAGGGTCCAAAATTAAACTTTGTTTGATTTCATCAAAAATTGAATTCTTGGGGTTCTTTGATTTGCTGAATCTAACCATGTATTTAGATTTTGGATATTGGACCATAATAAGTGAATGTCCAATTTAAAATTTTTAAGTTCTTAGACCACATTCATTCTGTCTCAGAAACCTATGCTGTGTTAAATATTTAATCACAATCCAAATTCAGAGCTGTATCAAGCTTGAATGTTGTGTCCATACTTGCCCCAACTGTTCAGGGTTCGACCTCTGCGGTCGTATCAAGCTGCGCCCTGCAGAGCATTTTATTATCAATGGGAATAATAGGATTTGGTGGGTATCGCAATTATAAAAAAAAATGCATTATGATATCTGATACATAAATATGTTCAACAATTTTTTTATAGGCTTGTATGCAGATTTTGGCTAAACCAAGAAATAAAATACCCCTGAAAATGAAAGTTTTCCTTAGTCCATGAAAATTGGTACTGACGAATATAAATAAATCTACAGTATATATAAAGATTTTAGTTTCTTGTGTACAATTTGGAGTTTAGTATGGCGTTCATTATCACTGAACTAGTATATATATTTGTTTAGGGGCCAGATGAAGGACGCCTCCGGGTGCGGGAATTTCTCGCTGCATTGAAGACCTGTTGGTGACCTTCTGCTGTTGTCTGTTCTATGGTCGGGTTGTTGTCTCTTTGACACATTCCCCATTTCCATTCTCAATTTTATTGACTGATTGATTGCTGCTTGACATCACATCACCAGGAAACTGCTATATCATGAAGATATAAGTTAAGAAAAATGTAATTGTATATTTATGAATAGCTTTCGTATTCTTGTATGTTTTTATTTGCAGAGTTTAGATCTCAGTAAAGAAATAATAAATTTCGAAGAAGCAGAAAATGTTAATGTAGGTGATTTGCAAGGACATGTACCCACAGACCATGCTAGATATCATCTTTATAACTTTAAACATACACATGAAGGAGATTACATGGAAAGTATAGGTAAGGGACCATCTCAGAATGTACAATATAAATAAGAAATGTGATATGAGTGCCAATTAGACCACTCTCTGTCCAAGTCACAATGTATAAAAAGTTAACAATTATAGGTCAAAGTACGGCCTTCAACACAGAGCCTTGGCTCACACCGAACAGCATGCTATAAAGGGCCCCAAAATGACTAGTGTAAAATAATTTAAACAGGAAAACCAACGTTCCAATCTATATGAAAAACGAGAAATACCTATGAACCACATCAACAAATGACAACCACTGAACAACAGGCTCCTGACTTAGGACATCGTACATTTTTATATTTATACCCCCATAATTAGCTTCATATTAATTATGTGATTTTTGAAGATACAAATTGGGGATTTTTCTTGCAAAGTAAAACAATTTGATATCATTGCTCAGGTATAGGACAGTTAACAAAAGCTTTAGCAACATGTATAAATTATATTTGACAACAATGTACCTATAACATGTATATTGTGTTTATATGACAACTTCATGCATGTGCAAAAATATGAACTTTTTAAAGCTAACAAGAGAAAATAATGGAAATTTCAGGTATTTGGATTCCTTATCTATGTAAATTGTTTATCTTCTTATTGTTGTCATTGTTTTGTTTTTATTATTTACATGCATATCTATAGAATTTATTCTTCTCTTTCAGTATTTATATATTCAATGCCAGGCTATAAGTGTTCTATAAAAGAAAGAATGTTATATTCTAGTTGTAAAGCACCATTTATCGACAATGTACAACAATTAGGTTTAGAAGTAGTTAAAAATGTAAGTCTTTCTAACAGTTTGTAAGAATTGTCTTTTAGAAGGTGTAAAATATTACCTACTTGCATAGTAAACATTATATTTTATTTACAATCTAATGTGTTATTTTTTGTTATTACGAAGCTGATAGGTCAAGGTAAAAAAAATCTATAAAATTTCATTGAAAACCATTAATTTGTCCATTAATTTTTTCGGCAAGTGGTCAGATATATTAGGATTTTATTAAGAAATGACGTACAAGTTAAGATGCTGAATCTAGAATTGCTAATATGGAAAATTAACTTGAGCAATATTGACTTCTACACTTAAAAAAAACATTTATAAAACTGAATCTTAATTAACCTTTTTATGAAAAAAAATGAGATATTGCAAATCACAACAGACCATTGAAGAACACAATTAAAACATCATTATACGCCAGCAAACATTTTTTTGGGTTCGTATAATGGTATGATGTCTTCTGCGTCGTCGTCATCCGAAGACACATTTGGTTTCCCGACAATAACTTTAGTTTAAGTGAATGGACTTCTATGAAATGTTACAAGAAGGTTCAATATCACAAAAGGAAGGTTGGAATTGATTTTTGGGGTTACGGTACCAACAGTTTAGGAATTAGGGGCCAAAAAGGGGGGAAAAAACAAGCATTTTTGTAGTTTACGGACAATAACTTGTGTGTAAGTGTATAGATCTCTCTGAAATTGTACCACAATGTTCCATATCACAAAGGGAAGACTGGGATTCAGTTTGGGGGTAATTGCCCCAAATATGCAGGAATTAGGGGCAAAAAAGGGGCCAAAAACAAGCATTTTTCTAGGTTCCAGACAATAACTTGTGTTTAAGTGTATGGATCTCTCTAAAATTGTACTACAAGGTTCCATACTACAAAGGGAAGGCTGGGATTGAGTTTGGGGGTAATTGCTCCAAAGTTTTGGGGGGGGGGATTTTTTTCCAATTTTTTTTCTTCAAAATTTTTCAAATTTCAAATCTTTTGAAAAGTTTCAAGAAGAAATCTTCAATTGCACAGTATTGCACAATAGATTTTAAAGATCTTTGACCACATTTATTTTGTGTCAGAAACCTATATTATGTCAATAATTTGATCACAATCCAAAGTCAGACAGTATCAAACTTGAATATTGTGTCCAAATTTGCCCCAACTGTTCAGGGTTCGCCCTCTGCAGTCGTATCTAGTGCGGTCAGTGAAACATTATTTTTTTTTAAAATTATTTCCAGATTTTGAATAATACAAAAAAAAGGATACCAGTAGCAGAAATCACCAAAAATCTTGAACAGTACAACAGACTGTATAAACTACCAATATTCAACTTCTCCGATTCCTCTAAACTTGCAAATAATTTGTATTATTGGCTTTCCAATTTTTTGGTCCTGAGAATAAATTATTTCAGATGGTGTAAAGATTGATAATAGATGTTCAATAGATATAAGAATATGTGGTATGAGTGCCAATGAGACAACTCGCCATCCAAGTCACAATTTGTAAAAGTAAACCATTATAGGTCAAAATACGGCCTTCAACATGGAGCATTGGCTCACACCGAACAGCAAGCTATAAAGGGCCCATTTAGGATTAGAGTATATTGATGTGGCATGAATATAAACTTGTTCTTCACTTATGGTTTTTCATGTGTGTGTGTGTAATGATTTTGTGTCATGAACTTCTGGTAATACATCATATACTTTTCCATTTTACTTGATGACATAGCACCCGACATGGACACATTGTTATGACTTTGAGCTTGCTATATTTGTTCTTACTTCTGAATTCAGTGTGTTTAGTAAAAAAGCATCGAATACCAATTTGAAAATACCAAATTCCAAGGAAAATTTAAATTTATAGCTAGCTAAACCTCTCATTTGTATGACAGTCACATAAAAATTCCATTATATTTTCAATGATGTGTGAACAAAACAAACAGACATAAAAGTTAAAAACGTTAAAAATAGGGGTACAGCAGTCAACATCATGTTATAATCATAATCACTATAAAACAAACAAATATATCAACAAAGAAAAACAAAATGGCATATAGACAAAGCACATAGGCAAAAATTAAAGACAACAATACAGCATAAACACACTGGAGGGATGCATAAGTACCAAGCTACGCCATTAGGATATTACAAAAAATGGAATAAACAGTAAAGGTTAATAATTTACGAAAACAAATAAAAGAACACTGTAACATGTAATTAAGATGATAAACAACGTCAGTACCTAGGTTCTATACTTCAAGACCATCATGTATTATTTGTGAAGTTGATATGGAATTTTATCAACTAGGTCTTGGTATCTTCTGATGAACTTTTTATAGAAAAAGGACGAGACGTTCTTTGACATAACACTGCTTAAGCTAGTTTAACAGATTGATGGTCAGCCCCACTTTAGGTGAATGGGCTTCCACAATCCCACCAAGTTGATTGAAATGACAATGTTTACTTATTAAAATCATCATCAGCATTCTTTGGTTTGAAAATTAATCATTTCCTTCCCTATTAACCTCAGAAAGAAATGTCACCTGCTGTCCAACTGTCCCATACATGTTTTTTTTTTCTGGAATAGCTTTTCCATTATTTCACTTTTTAATTTAATTAAAATTGATTTAAAAATGTATTTTAGATTGAAATAGATGATCCAAAAGAATTAACAGAAGTCTACATATACGATGAAGTTCATCCAAAGAAGAATGTTGCCAGACAAGCCTTTGCCAAACCAAAAGGCCCTGCTGGTCGGGGACCAAGAAGAATGCCCAAACAAGAATCATAGTATTGCCAATTGTTAACAACCTTACCGACAGTACATCTCAGACATTGTGTAATCATTATTAATGAACCATTTTGTTATTGTCATTTTTTCACTGCAAAGATTGTTATCATTATTTATTGTTATCCCCCTTGTTATCACTGGAACGAAACTTGATAAATTTAAGGGTAGGGAATTCCTCTCTGTAATATCTGGAACTGAAATTGGTAATGAGGGCTGGAGGTTATTGGCAGATAAAACTTCATTTTTTACACAGAGCAATAGATATCATATAACTGATGCAGGAGAGTTTACAACAGAAATCATCCATGCATTAACTGGTACTTATTTTCTTGTGGCTGATCAGTGCATTTGACTTTTATCAAGAACTTTATGTCATTGTATGGTGTTGCAGTAAGAATTGTTCAGTTGGGGGTGGATACAAACCAAAATGGGCCATAGGTATTAATCTGATGATAATAAAATCAAGATGATTCATTTAAATGGGTTATCTGTATTAAAGGATAAGGTGGTAAAGGAGTAGGCCCGGTAAGACCCCTTTTTGGCCCCAAAATATAGCATTTTTACAAATTTGTTGAAATGAAAACTTTAGCTCTTAATTGGAAAGTAGAATACTTTTGTTCCATAGAAAAGTTTTTGACAATACAATGCACATGCATCAGGTAATAGCATCATAAATTCTGGCAAAATTACTGAAATCTTCACAATTGTAGCATTAGTGCTAATTTTTGTCTAAAATTGAAGTGGCCGCATTTGTGTTCAGTTGTAATTTCTAAATATATGTTGTATTTGATGATAATGCATAACATATATAAAGATTGAGACCGAATACGAATGGGGCCACTTCCATTTTAGACAAAAACCATCTGAAAAGTGACGTTTTATGGCATATTTTATAGACTTTTTATATTTAAGCTTGAATTTGATAGTCTTTATTTACCAAATCAGTTCAAATCTTTAACAAACTATTTGAATCGACTGGAGTAGACACTTAAATTAAAAAATTTAAAAAATCTTTCATCAGATGTACTTTAAATTTTAGGCCAAAACTAGCCCTTACCAGACTTTCTCCTTTGAGCAGAATGGACCAATTGCTATGATTGGATAAATTTTACTTACTGATACTAAGTTTGGGGCCATCTTGACTTTTTGAATGGCATTAATATTATAGTTATATACAAGAGTTTCTTCTGTTCACTTAGACAGAACTTTTGAGACAATACAAATGGATCTTTTAATTCTGTTCTTTGAAAATTGTAATTTATATCAGTATTATCGTTATAATATTTATTAGTTTGAAAAAGTGTATAAACTTGATGGGTCTAGGCATAGTATACTGGTACATGTACCTGTTTATATTCTGTTTGAGTTATATAAATCTTCAAAATTTCTATCATTGAAAAGCAAAATTTTATATGTTGTAGCTGAATTTATATCCAATATTTTTCTAATTATATAAACTCTGACAATTTGTTACCAGAATATCTGGTCAAAACATATAGTTACAACATAAGGCCATGATCCTAGACTACATGAATAAATACAGTGGGAAAAAGGCAATATAATTAAAAAATCTGATTTTGAATAAATTACTTCAAAGATTTAGAGAATTAAAACAGACTATAATATGAATACTGAATCTAATATTTTTCTAATTGTTATACAAACTCTGACAATTTTTTGCCGCAATTTCTTGTCAAAACATATAAATACAGCATCTGGCCATGGTCCTATACTGCATAGATAAATATTCAGTGGGAAAAGTGTAACATAAAAAAAATATGATTTTGAATAAATTACTTTAAAGATTTAGAGAATTAAAACAGAATTTTATATGTATACTGAAGACTATAAGATCTTTTATTTTTTAAAACACTGCTTACCTACATTAAACTTAATCAGATTTTTATCAACTCTTCAACTCAATTTAAAAAAAATCATGCATGAAAGCAATTATTGATATGCAATGCTCAAAAACATGAATATCTAATTTTAAAGAACACTTATAAAAAACTGTGATATTTTTTATATTAAATATATTGTGTTCTTTTATATTTTTGTAATGTGTATATTTGTCACTTATGCATGTTATTATAAGATCAAAGTAAAATAAAAATTGTTGGGTTTTTGTCGAGCCTGCGACTTTTGTCGCAGAAAGCTCGACATAGGGATAGTGATCCGGCGGCGGCGGCGGCGGCGGCGGCGGCGGCGTTAGCTAACTTCTTAAAAGCTTTATATTTTAGAAGGTGTAAGGTCTGGATGCTTCATACTTTGTATATGGATGCCTCATGTTACGAAGTTTCCGTCAGTCACATGTCCAATGTCCTTGACCTCATTTTCATGGTTCAGTGACTACTTGAAAAAAAAGTTCAGATTTTTTGTAATGTTAGATTCTCTCTTATTATAAGTAATAGGATAACTATATTTGGTATGTGCGTACCTTGCAAGGTCCTCATGCCCGTCAGACAGTTTTCACTTGACCTCGACCTCATTTCATGGATCAGTGAACAAGGTTAAGTTTTGGTGGTCAAGTCCATATCTCAGATACTATAAGCAATAGGTCTAGTATATTCGGTGTATGGAAGGACTGTAAGGTGTACATGTCCAACTGGCAGGTGTCATCTGACCTTGACCTCATTTTCATGGTTCAGTGGTTATAGTTAAGTTTTTGTGTTTTGGTCTGTTTTTCTTATACTATATGCAATAGTTCAACTATATTTGGTGTATGGAAATATTTTATGATCTATTTGGCAGTCACGTAGGTTTTATTTGACCTTGACCTCATTTTCAAGGTTCATTGCTCAGTGTTAAGTTTTTGTGTTTTGGTCTGTTTTTCTTAAACTATAAGCAATAGGTCAACTATATTTGTTGTATGGAAGAATTGTTAGCTGTACATGCCTGCCTAGCATGGTTCATCTGACCTTGACCTCATTTTCATGGTTCATTGGTCAATGTTTAGTTTTCTTGGTTAAGTCTGTATCTTAGAAACTATAAACAATAGGTCAACTATATTTAGTGTATTGAATGATTGTAAGGTGTACATGTATTTCTTGTTTGGTTTATATGACCTTGACCTCATTTTCTTGGATCATGTTAAGTGTATGTGATAGTTGTAGTAAAGCTTTATATTTAGGACTATCAACATAATATCAATGATTAGTAAAGAAGGCGAGACATTTCAGCGTGTGCACTCTTGTTATTTTTCGTAAAAATTATGACAGTTGTTCAATAAAATATTCTTTCCTTGTTATCATATCAAGTGATAAATGAGAAATAAAGAGTGAATAAGTATTTTGATGAAAAGAAGACATGACACATTGTCCACTTCATGTATCCATCCGTTTAATTTTTAGAGAAAGTGTTTTATATCATTCTGAAATGGCAAAAATGACAAAAAATGCTGTTTCAGTCATTCATAGTTTAAATTTGCATAATTCATTTGATTGTAGGAAGAGTTTTATTGAGAACATGGTGTGCACTATCATTGTAGAGGCAAAACTGAAAATCATGCAACCTATAAGGAAATAAAGGTATTTTAACTATTCCAAATGCATGCATTATTTCCTGCCTGTATTGAAATCCAGTTAAAATTTCAGATCTTTGGCTGTCTTTCTTAAATTAATCTCATCTTATCTAGAATCATGGTGATTAATAACTTGACATATTGTATAGACACTATAAAGATATATTCTTGAAGACTTCTTGACCTTGTACTAATCAAGTTATTGTGAGATAGAAGTAAGATGCATCAAATAGCTGTTCTTATTTGACCTCTTGTTATTCTGGAAACTGTTGTATGATTTTCTGTTCTGTCTCTAGTTATTTTTGTCTTTTTTATGTGGATTGTTTTTGTATTATAGTTTTGTTGAGATGTTTAAGTTTTAATACCTGTTACATGTTATGAACCTTTTCACCATTCCTGTGAATAGAAATTGTAAATATTAAATTCAAGAGCTCAGGATATACCTCAAAATTAAATGTTTATTTTTGATGACCAGAATTTATTACTGTTTGGCTGAAAACTACCAACAGTATTTCATTTTTTCTTAGGTGACATTGATGAAATGCAAAGTACAACATGTGTGATTTATGTTTTTCTCAAGACAAGCCAACATTGATTCTTTGCTTTTGCTGACCAAGCATATAACACCATAACATGGGAAACAGCTAACATTATTTCATATAAGGCCTAATGTTACTTTTATGTGTTGTTTTCTCTTGCAATGTTTTTTAAAAACAATTAAGCTCTGATTGAAGACATTTATCAATTTTATCTGTAGGTAAATCACTTTTTCTGACTTTCAAAAACAAAAAGGAAACGGTTACATTATCTTTAAGGCAATGTAATAGGTGCTATATATGCTTGAATTGATTTTTCCCTTTGGTCATGGAAAAGTATTAGCTGAAAAAATATGTTCATAATGGAATAAAGTATATTAAACAATAGTTTGTTTTAATTTGTTGTGTGTTTCTTATCTAAGATTATAAGATTGCAACCCAATGCTTTGCAATATGATGTATTTATGAATTAATCTAATATATTGCCTGTTTATCTTTTTTATTTTATTTTTCAGAACTAGACTTTTATACCTTTTGGAGATGGCATCCAAAGAAAAATAATGAAAGTAAAAACATGTTATTTGTTTATTTCTTAAGATTTCAGGTTTATGAACATGAATAAGAACACTTTATTAAACCAATCATCTGCTCATAAAGAGCATGGTACATGCAATGATGGTAAATCTATTTTCAGTTGTTGAAAAAATACTTGGAAGTAAAAGTGTGTAGGTGTTCAATTTTGTCTTAAGAATCAGTTGCTAAAAATTCTCTTCACTAGAAATTGGTAACTACTCATTGGAAAGTATGCTTAAAAAGGGGGCTAAAATTTGGAAAGATAGAACATAGAAGTAAGAACAGGAATGATCTTGTGAAAAATTGAAATAGAAAGTATTAAAAAATTGTAACTTTAGAGCAATATACAACATTATCTACCAGCACCTATTCCCTTGTACAATCTACCAGCACCTGTTCCCTTGTACATCTACTCGGGTTTCTTTCTAAATGGTTTGAATTTCTGGTTTTTGCTATTCTAGTCAAAACTTGAGAATCAAGTCGATGGTAGAGAATAGAAGAGAACTTGAGTAAGTTTCTATAAAGACAAGCAGAAAAGAATATTCTTCTATTTTGTTATTTCTCTGATCCAGATTTAAAGTGGAGGGTTGAGATCTCAGAAAAAGATCATTTTACCCTTCGTCATGTTTATGTGCCTGTCTCATGCCAGGAACCTTATCAGTGGTGGTTGTATCTTAATGTTTTGTCCTTGAGGGAAAGTGATACTGATGGCAGATATTTGATTGTCCAGGGCAATTAAAAGATAAGCATATTGTATAAGTATTTGTCTTTTGTTTAAGATTAATTTGATCTTTAGGTGTGTGTTTTTTTTGTGTCAAAATCTACCTTTACTTTCAGCACAATTTGGAAAATTGTATATAAGATTAGTTTGTGGTGGGAGATTACCGTATTTTATACAAATAAAACAATATCACAAGGGGAAATGAAATTGTGCAAATTTCCCTGATAGGATAAGCTGATACATTTAGAAAATAATAGATTCAAGGGAAGGGAATCACAAAAGTTTTAACTGTATCTAAATAATACGGATTACACTATTATGTAAATGTTGCATTCGAGTGCAATTACTAACTTTAAATGTTAGAAAGCAAACAACATAAATAGACGTATAAGTTGACATGTTGAAAAATCGATTCCAGTGCAACTGTTAATCGCTTCCATTATTTCGTGGATGAATAAAAACAAACGTAAAGTTGTACAATTATTATGCTTGTCAGAGCATTACTGGTGACATTATCGGCCTCAAAGATTCAAGAATCGAATTAGCAAAACCTTGCAGTTCCAAAATTGGCTTGATTGTTATAGTTGCGGCGTGTATAATGTTGTCTTGGAATATTTATTGTAAGTTTGATATAAAGATATCGGTGGTATATAAGATACTGGTATTATTCAACCAAAAGACGACATTTTAAAGGATATGAACGACTACATGACAAAGTTCAATACACATTCGACGCATTTGTTTCTTATGCAGAGGAGGATCGTCTGTTCGTTTTTAAAACATTAATCGATGGTCTAGAAACCGGAAAGGGAAAGAAGCTATGAATTCATAATCGCAATTTTGTACCAAGTTGCAGTATTTCTGGCAATATTACGTATGCCATTCATGAGAGCGACACAATAGTTTTTCTGATCACACAGAAATTTCTCGAATCTGAAGGGTGCAACTTTGAGTTAAATATTGCCCGAGTTGAAGGAATGTGATCTCGTGATGGCGAAAATATAGTTAATATAGTTCTAAATGAAAATATTTCTAAAAGTGATTTACTTAAACAAATATCAGAATTGATAGCTCACCAGACCTACATCGATTATACATATTTTATAAGAATAATACGGATATATTTATTGACATATTTGATACTGGAATTGAACATTAAGAAGTACCATCGCAGATATATGGCATAATCAGTTATACTGGGACTAAAGACGTATTTATTTTTTTTCTACAGCTCCGGATGTTTATTGTGATCTGACATATACATTCTTTTTAAGTCTTTTTAGTTACTTTACTAACAATTTCAAACCTGTAAATAATATATGGGTAATTGGGTCAATTAAAGACTTCATGTTGTAAGGCTCTTCAACTTCGTATTTGATTTGGCCTTCTAACTGTTTTAATTTGAGCATCACTATCAAGTTTTTTGTAGACGAAACGCGCGTCTGGCTTACAAGATTAAAAGCAATGTATCTTTGATAAGTTTTTTATAATGTAAAAAAGAAAATTTGTAGATCGCTTTGTTTTCGCTTATTTCACTATTAAACAAATCAGCATAAATATCAACTCGAACATTAGATGTATATGGTCTATCTTAGGAACAAGAAAAAACGCGAACTACATCCCTTTAATCACGTAATTTACACTCCGCAAAAATAAACTTCTTCACAGTATCAAAATCAAAATCTGGTTCGATGTTAAGTTACTGTTCAACATTTATCAAATTTTGAATATATGTATTTATTTACAGATAGGGACACATTTTAAAGAAAACAACACTCTTACAAAATATATATATGATTTATTTAGTCGGAAAGGCGGTGATTTTTAGTAGGTTCGGAATGTCACTATACATGAAAATATACCATGGTATCTTATTTTTTTTTCTCTCGATTTTGTCGACTAAGTGTTATAGGTGGAGTTTGAAATGGTTTATCCTATCCCATCACTGTCAAACAACCTAGTCGAAATTTTTATCGTCTAGGGACCAGTTACAGAAATTTGAATGTACCCTTTCCGCAATAATCAGCACATTTCTGGTAAACAATATGTCTGTTTCTAACGATTGACTTATTTATTTATGACACTATTGCCGTGTAGATAAATGGAAACCTCATTTAATTGTTATGTGCATATATCTTTTTGGATATTGTGTCTTACAGCACAGAACTACATAACTTTCATGTATTAATTTGGTTTAAGATTAAGCATTGACATCCTGTGGTAAAACACGATTTTTGATATTTCAAGGAAGTATGCTATAACGGGTCAACATTATTTGGTTTGTACTGTTGTTGCTGACGAGATCAGTTTGTCTGATATGTGTTTATAAAACCACATATGTGATGAAGTTTTATACAAGCCGCTATTGAGATAATTGGTGAATAACGCTTTTCAATGTTCAATACAATTATCGTTTGTTTACTGCAACTGTACGAGGGTGTAAACAAATTATGATATGGAAAATATATTTCTGAGATAAAACCGATTCTTTTCCTTTCTTTTAAACCCACCCAATCAAGGAATCATATATCTTTTTTCATTTTTGATTTTCAATATTTAATTATCTATGTACATGTACAATCCTGTTTAGCATACATTCACTGTCAATATTAAGCTATGAACAATCTTAATAAAAGTGAATGAAAACTAGCCTCTTTGTTTGATCAATTTGTATGTTTGTTAGTCAGTTGTGTTGAATGTCTGTGATGTATATTTGCACAGTTTTGGTTGCTGGATCCCAATTATTGTCACATTATTCGATTATGTCGGTTTTGGTTGCTCACCCAGTTTTGTCAATATGACGGAACTATAAACAACTGTCATGCAAGTGGGAGGTTTATCTAGCTATAAAACCAGGTTTAACCAACCATTTTCTTCTGAAAAATCCCTGTACCAATTCAGGAATATGGCAGTTGTTTTTCACTTGTTCCGTTGATTGGTAGCGATTGATTTTGTCGATTTTTATGGACTTCCCCCTTTTTGAATTTTCAATGGAGTTCGGCATTTTGTTGTACTTTTATAACTAACACATTAGACAAATGTCTTTATTAGTTTTTAAATGTATTACAATAACTTCCTGGCGACAACGAAGATAATTATAAACAATGGAAAATATTCATCATATTTCAAAATATCAAACAATTGTCATGAATAGATTCATGAATGAAGCTATAAATCGTATTGTAATTCACATTATATCGTTTTTTTTTTTGACACGAAACAGATTGTAATAGGATTGGGAGGTAATAATCAATGTTTCGGTGTCTCATTATACAATAAATAGACAAACTCTTTATGTTCACCATCTTTCATATGACAGTTTTATATTTTTTCCATGTTCTATGTTGTTATGACATGGTGGACAGAAAATAGAAATTGTCGCCTACAATATTCAAATAATAAGACCCACACAAAATACGAACCGAAAAGAAATAAAAACCGATTAATAAAATGATTATAAAACAAGACCAAGAAAAAAAAAACGATTGAAAACAACGTATATATTCGATACACCAAATAACGTTGACCTATTGCTTAAAATATCTGAGAGAAATTAACCTTATAAAGAAAACTATTGGCTGAGCGATCAACTATAAAAATGAGGTCAAGGTCAGATCAACGTTTTCATCTGGACATGTTCATTTATAATTATATAAAATAAACATATCTGACTTATTGCTTATAGCGTATAAGAAACAGTACGAATCAGCTAAACTTTACGTTAATTACTTGATCATGAAACTAGGTCAACATCAGGTAAATTCTGTAACAAGGACATGTAATTGACATAGGAATCTAAATTTTCCAGAGCAAAACCGACGTTTATCCAAACCGGAGTCTTTCTGATTTCTCGGTGACTTCCATATAACCCACTTCTCGATATATAGCACTGCTTGTATATTTCTGCTACAATATGAGGTATACTATAATGACGTAGGCCTACCAAAATACCATTTTTATCGAGATATGTTCATATATCCCGTCTTACATTTGTCTTATTTCATATAAGGTCACTCAAAACAAAATTGAAACTAACCTCAACGTACATATTTCAGAAATAGCATAAGCAACGCCTGATTTTTTTTGATTTTTTTAATTTGTATACATTGCCTCAATGCATGTCTAGAAAACAATATGAGGACGCGATTAGGCTGCACCGACCTTTGTCTTTTGTTTTCTGTCTTCTCTCAAAACCCAAGCTTAATTCGGCAATTGAAAGTTTGATATTTAACGGATATTTATGACTTTTATCAATAATAAATAATAAACATTTATACATAGGACGATGAGTCAAATTACCGTTTGTATCCAGGCTGTTAAATAGTGTAAACTTCTAAGATATTTATCATGTTTATGTAAATGTCAAATTTAACGCAGGGGTAATTATTAATGCATTTATAGATTTTTTTAACTCCAATTGACGTAAACATGAACATTTTATCGACTATCAATTAAAATACGTCTTGTCTACGATTTAGACAAATAGTTAAAATGAAATTTTTTTTTGTTTTAAACATGAACAAAGCGGAATTCTTAAATAGTACTTTGCAATAATCAACAAGTGTGATTGAATTCAGTAAAAATGCCACATCGTTGATACTAGAATATTATAATCTTGCAAGACTGTAAGTCCACCTCATATTGGGTACGTTATCATGCAAACTTTAATTTGAGCCTTAGTTGAAGACGGTTTAATTTGCGTATGTGTTCAGCATGCTTAGTTATCAAAATGTAAAGTATGTTATATTTGAAAAGAGAATCAAGAGAGCCGTTAAGAGCCATTTCGTTGACAATTTTGGCTCATGAAAATATCGTTTTAGAGGTTAAACGAAAATATACATATTTTTTTAATCTGTAACATGAAATTAAATACCCGGAAAAATCGTATTTATTCTGTTGCGTTTGCTTGTCGCTCTATTTATATTTATATCTTTATCGGTCAGGTGACAATCAATAGTCGTCATCTTGGTGGTTAATTAGATGGAGTCTACATGTTAGTACTACAATACGCACTGAAAGTTGATGCGTTATTACGATTTCATGCATTGTTTGTTGTTTTCAATATAGTTCTTGAAAATATAATGTATATATGCTATAAATGAAATTATCAGAATTTGAGTCAATTCAGTGAAAGTGAATTTGACAACTTATATACCCTTTAAGTCTTACCCATTACCGGTGGTTTTCATCAGGCACTCAGGCCTACTACACTAATAGAAACTGTCCACAACGAGTGCTGAAAGCTGCGCCAAACAATAACGATCAATCAATCAATCCTACCTGATTAGCAATTCAATACCTACTTGCCCATACCAAATAATTAACGAACAGATATACAAAAGCAGAAATACCATACTTAATTTTTTGCGTGATTGAAAATTACAATATTACTGAACCCCAAGAGTTTACCATCAATTCTATCTTCTACATTTACAAAAAATACTAAGGTCAAAACAACTGAAATTAAACTATGCGAAGATGATTACGAACCTGTAACAAAGATTGAATATTTCAGTCTGCGTTATTTTAAGGAAGAGACATTTCATTTCAATAAACGGACAAAGTATTGAAAAGTCGAAGAGTAAAAGAATACCTTTATTTGAATATAACTCTCTAAAATTTTTACTTATAATTATCTTATAAATTTGTAACTGTCATATATTGTAATGAGGAAGAGAGCAAAACCCAGAAAATTTGATTTAACTATGAATGCATTGAAATAAGACATCAGTGACAACCTTGAATATATTGTAGCTGGAGGTTTGATAAATATATAAATGAACTTAAATATTTCAAAAATGTGAAGAAACTGGCAAATCTATTGAATAAAGTAATCAAAGGAATTTAATTTCATTTTAAAGAAAAATTTAAATTTCACTCCAAAAAATGTTGTAATCCACAATCTTATTGTTTTGATGATGTTGTATTCTGATAAATCATAAGTTTCAATCAAATGAATGATGTTTGGTATTTTTTCAGACACTGATTCGAGAATCAGACTATAGTTGGTGTTATCCAAATATTGCATGCAACTTATAAAAATGAACAAGGGTTATAGCTCGTTGATAAAGTCATATTTTGGGCATTGTATTTATATTACTTTAATGTGTTCCTATTAATAACTTGTGTTCAAAAGGAATTAAATAACGATTTTAGATGATAGACCCTTGGTGTTAAATCTATCGAGGAAGTAAACATTTTGTGAAATTATTTTTTCCTGAAGAAGCTAAGAACACTTAGGATACATGAATCAAAATTTGGACCCCAAGTTAACATTTAACGTATACGTATGTTCTCCAACAGGAAGTGTTTTCAAATATTGAGAATGGGGGAGTTGTTCACTGACCGTATGAAATATTTGGTCATTATTTTAATGATTTTCGCGTATATTGAAGCCAAATCATGCGACCCATGTCGTTGTTATATGACTAAGATAGACTGTTCGCATAAAAATTTATCTTGGATCCCGAATTTTAGTTATTTTGAATCTGTCCGTTACATAGACTTCAGCTTCAACCAAATAACATACATTCCAGACACCAAGAATCTCCCACTCAATGTTTATCTTTTGGATCTATCTTTCAATCAAATTCATGATTTTGGTAATGGATCATTGTCAGAAATGAAGAAGCTGAAACATTTGAATTTAAGCTGTAATGGTTTACACTCAATGCCTCAAGGATTTCGATTGCCTAGTTCGCTGTCACATTTAAACGTTTCTTCTAATTTGATGAAAGCATTCGGGAAATATCCCTTTGTAAATATTCAATATCTTCAAACATTGGATTTATATAACAATAATTTTGAATACAATAGAAGAATATTTTACAACGGGTTATTTGAAAATCTGCGATGGTTGAAATGTTTAGATATTGGCAAAAATAGTATCGGAACGAAGGAACCTATTTATCCGGATGAAATATTTTGTCATTTAAAGTCTCTGCAAACCTTGAAAATCGACGGCATATCTGGTGCTTCATTTGGAAAAGGATTTAGATATCTTACAAAATTGAGATTGTTAAGAATTTACAATATGGGTCTAGTAGGATATTCTTCAGATTACTTTGAAAATGTTTCACAGATTACATCACTTGATTTGTCATGTACCTTAACACCCAATAATGAGGAGGGTTGTTATCTAAGACGCATTGAAGCAGGAGCGATAGCTAAACTGCAAAAACTACAGTATTTAGATATATCACATAACCTAAAACTAGGATTTTGTGGACTAAGAAATGTTACGTATGATCTTACAAAAACACAAATAAAGGTACTGAGAGCAAGAAAAATTACATGTCCATATGGCTACAGTACGGTTTTATTTGCTGGAGACATCCAACCGTTGAACAAAACTAGAATTAGTGAAATTTACATGGATCAAAACAGACTTGAAATGCTAGAGGATTTTGCAGCGTCTTATTTGCCAAAATCTTTAAGATTACTTAGTCTCACATACAACAGACTGCGACTAGAGAAATATAAAATACATGGAATTTTCAACTTAACTGGAATCCATTCTTTAATTCTGAATTATCAAGACCAAATAACAATGGACGATATTGCTCACTGGTTTGTGTGTGATGACTTTGAAGAAACTCTTGAATGTTTATCAAGGCGAATAAACGCAGAACGGCACTCGGATATAGAACAATTTAATCAGGCTAAACATGAAAATTCTAATTTCAAGGGAATGCATTCGTCTGCTCATGTGAATACACTAATGAATATTTTTGGCACTGTAATGAACTTTTCGCAGATCAAAAACCAAAGAATAGTATTTGAGTCCCAAGACTATTTAAAAAATCACCACAAATGGTCATTGTGGTTTACCAAAAGTCACGGAAGCATTCAGTATTGGCCTTATCCTTATCCTCGACCGGAAAATTGTACCTTTGGAGAAGACTTATTCTACATATCAATTATTCCTCCTAATTTAAAGAGTGTCGAATTTCAACACTCTGGTTTAGGTGATACTGTTGTTCCACAATTTGTAAGCAATGATACATTAGAAGACATTAATGTAAGTGGAAACAATTTTCAATACCTTTTAGGGCCGGTTTGTAATGTATCAAAGGTCAAGATACTTGATATATCTGGAAACTTGTTTGTAAACATATCATCATATTTTTTCATTGGATTTAGCAGTCTTGAAAAACTTTATATTCAAGACAATATTCTTAGCAAAGTTGTGATGAAATTTGACAACGGTGAGTTATTTTCTAGTCAGTCAAAATTAAAGCTTTTGAATATATCCTCAAACAGGCTATTTGAGCTACCAGAAAAGCTTCTTAAACACACAATCAATCTACAGGTTTTAGACTTAAGTCATAATCTACTAACTGATTGGAATCTTACCACTTTACATTTACTGAAAATCAAATTGATTGACTTATCATCTAATCAAATAACATTTTTCTCAAAGAATGGCATGAGAAAACTAGAACAATCTAAGAGCGTAAAAGTTAACGTAATGAATAACCGATTCCAATGCAATTGTGAATCGCTTCCTTTCTTCTCATGGATGAATAAAAACAAACACATATTCATGTCTTACAATAATTATACTTGTCAGAACATTACCGGTGATATAATCGGCCTCAAAGATGCAAGAACACAATTAGAAAAAGCATGTAGTTCAAAACTTGGCTTGATTGTCATAGTTGGGGCGTGCATACTTTTGTCGATTGGATTAATTCTTGGAAGTGTAATATATAGATATCGTTGGTATATAAGATATTGATATTATTCAACAAAAAGACGATATTTTAAAGGATATGAACGACTACATGACAAACCTCAATACACATTCGACGCGTTTGTTTCTTATGCAGAGGATGATCGTCTGTTCGTTTTCAATGAAATAATTGAGGGTCTCGAAAATGGCAAAGGAAAGTACCTATGTATTCATCACCGCAATTTTATCCCAGGTTGTGATATTTCTGACAACATTACAAATGCAATTCACGAGAGCGAAAAAATAGTTTGTCTTATCACACAGAAATTTCTTGAATCTGAATGGTGCAACTATGAGTTAAATATTGCTCGAGTTGAAGGAATGTGGTCTCGTAGTGGCAAAAATATGATTATTATAGTTCTAATGGAAAATATTTCTAAAAATGATTTGCCAATCCAAATAATAGAATTAATAGCTCACCAAACGTACATCGATTATACAGCTTATATTAATACGGATATATTTATTGACATGTTGAATACTGCAATTGACCATTAAAAAGTATTTGTAACCTACAATAATCCAAGTATGATAGCACGGAAGAATCATTTGTGGCCCTTTAGCTACGGATGTTTAGTGATTCTTGACATACGATTTACTTGTAAGACTTTATATGAACTTTAATAACAATTTGGTATTGTTAATTTGGTTAATAACTTGCTGGATACTGTCTTATAGAAAATTTTGTTGATGAATTTTTTTATTGCTATTCGCGATTAAATACATTTAACATTCTACAGCTGTATGCATATGTTTGACAAAAATCTTTGACCTTAAACCCAATAAGAATAAACGTCTTTACAGTGTCTAAATCACAATCTGATCATTGTTTAGTTACTTTTGCACTCTTATCAAATTAATCTAAACATGTGTATTTAATCCAAGTTAGTAACAAATATCAAAGGTAATAATTCTGCAATTTATGCGGCAAAATCATAAAATTAAAAAAAAAAAATGTTTAATTTCTTCCACGAATTTAAAAAATATACAAAAATTATACTCATTCGATTGATGTTACTGCTTACATGTGAATTATACCATGGTGTTTTGTCCTTTTTTCAATTTTGTCGACTAAATTTTATGAAGTGAGTTTTAATTCTATACTATCACTATATAAAAACTGTGTCGAGATTTTTATCCGTATAGACCATTTACATAAATTTTAATATGCCCTATTCACAGCAATTTACACATTGCAGGTGACCAATATTTTATATAGGAAATTTGTTGTAAAAGAGAGACGAATTGTAAGAAATATGCAACGATCTGAATTATATTTCAGTAAACAATTGCCCTGTGGAAAAGTTAAGAACCCCAGTTTGTGATATCGCCCATCCTGCATTGACATTGACTGATATATTTTTGTTTGGATAGTATCGATCCTTCAACATAAAACGCTTACTTTTATGTATTGATTTGTTATAAGATAACTCCTTGAAATCCAGTGGTTGACAAAAATTTGTTGATAGATTCCAGGAAGTACGGGATAACGGGTCAACATTATTTGGTTTTGACTTGCTGCTGACGGACTGAGTTTTTCTAATATGTGTTTCCCCTTTTTATGTAACACACATATGTAATGTTATTTAAAATAAGAGCCGCAATTGGGATATTAGTGAATAACACTTTGTCAAGGTCAATAAATTTAAGTTTTGCATGCTGCAACAGACCGGGGGGATGTACAATATGGACAATATGATTTACTGATGCAAAACTGCTTTGTTTACTTTTGAAACCACAAAAACAATTGACAATATCAGTCAAGTGATTGTATTTTTTTTTCATTTTTGAATTTAACTTTTTTATATATGCATGTATGTTCAATCGTGTTCAGTACAGATTAATTACCAATATTTAGCTATAAGCGCTCCTTTTGAAACTTAATGAAACGTAGCATCGAATGTACATTAAACAATATGACTTAAAAATATATTACAGTAACTTCCTGGTTACAATGAAGAGAATAAAACAATGGAAAATATTCAACATATTTAAAAATATTAAATAAATCTCTTGAATAGATTTACTGAAGCCATAAATCGAATTATAATGGGCGTATTACATTTGCGGGCATTTGGAGATTACATATTTTTTACGTTTGCGCGCAGCTTTTGATTACATTTGCGCGCATTCATTTTACAGAAAACACAAGTAAAATAAGATAATTCATGATAAATATGACTATAGTTAATATGAATTTTGAAAATATTCTATTTTTAAATTTAAATTATATATTTTTCATTTTGAATTCTAAAAAAAGATACAGTAATTATGAGAAATCCCGTAATAGCTTAAGACATACATGTAACTTAATTGCGAATATTTCAGAATAAATAGCATTCTGTTTCATTATTTTACCGAAACGAAACAAATAGGGGGAATAACCATTTGTGTACGACGGATTTACTTTTCGTATCGACAGAACACTTAAGTCGGGGAACATTTCATCATGGCGATGCACTGTAAATAATTGCAAAGGTACTTTAACAGATTCCCTATTTCCTCAATGTCTTTTGGCATCACAACCGTCAGTAGAATCTATGCATACTACAAATGGCCCGGAATCATTACTACAAACGACCCCGGCGGAATCATTCCATGCTCTCTACAATGGAGCAATTTTATTCAGCTCATCCATGAATTTTTTTGCACGTTACGACATGTAAAATCAGTACTTCTAATCTTTAGATTTACCATGTATTTGCATTTTTATCTGTATATATTTCCAGGACTAAGTGTTTGTTCACAATAAAAATGACTTATCCTGATCAAAATTATAGTTAGAAATAAATAAATAAGTATATTCTACCTGTATTTACCTGCAAGAGAATGCGCTCAAACGTAATGATTTTTGCGCCCGAATGTAATGGTAATGCGCGCAAATGTAATGCACCGACCGTTAAATTTACATTAAAACTTTATTGGACACGACTTGTAGATTAATGGGGTTAGGAGATAGAGTAATAAGCCATCACAAATGGTTGATCATTTCAGTGTCTCGGTTTCTCAATTTACAATAAACCTGTAAACCCTGTGTTCTTTGTTCAAGGTCAAAATAAAATAGTAAGCAATCAAATATTGTCGGCTACAATTTTTGCATACAAAAGATGAAAGAAACCCAACAAAAAAAAAAAAGAAAAATAATAAAAGAAAAAACAAAACACCAAAAAACGAACGAAAACAACGTACATATTTTATACACCAATCAACGCTGTTTTGACGATCTCACTTTTTTTGGTAATCATACGAATTTTTTTGTTCTTAATCAACGGTTTATGGTTTTATCTAGACTTTAGATTGTTGAATTGAATCTATGGTACTCCTATATTTATTTACATTAAAATGAAATATCGTGGTAGTCAAAATCTCTATTCGGCAAAAAAGTGCAAGTTTAATAGATGTCTGTGATGAGTTTATTTGATAAATAAAAGCATAACTATGACTTTCTATGGAGATTTTTGAAGTATAACAAACATATTTACATGACGATTGGAAAAATTCTTCACATAACCGTTCATATTTAGACTGTTCAAAAGTATAATAAATTGCTTCGCTTTGCGCAGCTGGATACGACCGCAGATGTCCAACCCTGAAAAGTTGGGGCCAAAATGGACACAATATTCACGCTTGATACAGGTCTGAATTTGGATTGTAATTAAATTTTTGACACATAATAGGTTTCTGACACAGAATAACTGTAGTCAAAGAACTTCAAATTGGTTATATGATTTGAATTTATATTCAATTTTTTGCTTTTGTGCAATACACTATGCGAATTGACCTCCCCAAAAAAAAAATTTACCCCGTTTTTTTGCGTTTGTGCAATACACTATGCTGTTGAATATTAACCCCCCAAAAAAAAATATTTGAAGAAATTTTCTTTTAATTTCTGAAATCTGAAATGAGAAAAATTGTCCCCCTCCAATTTTTTTCACCTCCCCCCTTTCCCTTATTAAAAAAAATAATTCTTTCCCTTAAGTTATGGTCAGTATCTCAGACAATCATCATTTCTTAATACATAATTTACAAGGGAGGTAATCAAACATTGTTCTTTAAATTGATTTGGATTTTGATTTGGATTACCTCCCTTACACTGCTTTTAAATTGTCTCAATTGTCCTTTAACCAGAAAAACCCTTGTTTTTCCCCTTTTTTGCCCCTAATTCCTAAATGGTTTGGGCCTAACCCCCCAAAGTCAATCCTAACCATCCCTTTGTAGTATGGAATCTTGTGGTATAATTTCAGAGAGATTCATACACTTTAACACAAGTTATTGTCTGGAAACTGCAAAAATGCTTATTTGGGCCCCTTTTTTGGCCCCTAATTCCTTAACAGTTGGGACCATAACCCCCAAAATCAATCCCAACCTTCTTTTAGTGGTTATAAACCTTGTGTTAAAATTTTATTGATTTCTATTTTCTTATACTAAAGTTATTATCCGGAAACCATCTGTCTTCGGACGACGCTGACGACGACGACGACGACGACGACGACGACGACGACGACGACAACGTGATACCAATATACGACCAAATAAAATTTAATTTTTGCGGTCGTATAAAAACCAAAGCAACTTTTGTTAATGCCAAATGAAAAGCAATGTTATTCTATAATGTATTTATAGAAAGAAAAATTTAATGTGTAATTCCAATTGACGTAACTATTTAGCAACTATCAATTCAATAAATAAGACTAAAACAATAAGAAAGATTTTTTTTCGGTATAAACATAAATAAAAGCGAAATTTTGAATTTTTATTTATATACCGGTCACGTGACCATTGGCATTCGGATATCTTCGGAGGTCATCTCGATGGTTTATTAGATGGAGTCTAATCGTAAAAACACACTGAATGCTGATACTTTCATGCATTGTTTATTCATTCTATGCAGTTCTTGCAAATATTTTAGTATGATATAAATGAAAAAAATGAGTTTTAGTCAATACGGTGGTAATGCATTAGACAGCAAATGCCCTTTCAGTCTTACCCAATATCGGTTGTTTTATCCAGGCTCTCTAGCCACCTTAACCTATAAAAACTGTCCGCCCACAAGTGTTGAAAGTTGCGATAAACACAAACAATCAGTCAATAAATTAGTCTACACTCGTCATATCACAAAGGTATGGGAGACAGGATTTGGCTTCAATATGCTAAAAAAAAAAATATTAAAATCATGAAATAATATTGCAGACGGTTAGGTTAGTTTGCAATCCTTCCATCCTCAATTTGATCAAACATAACTTACTGGAAGAGAGCAACTGTTTACTATTTACTTTCAGTCAGTATTTTGTATCAAATTGCATGTGTTTAAACCGAACTTAGGACTCTCTGAATTCAGTGGACTAATCAAGCTTCGGGTTTACTGTCCATTTTGTAAAACGAACATTCTTATTCATTGTAACTTACCCTGTGTATTATATTTCAAATGAACAAAGATAACATTCAAGACTTTTGAAAAGGAGAAACATCCCATGAAAAAATCCATTTTATGAAAATATATCACAAATGTATAAATTACTTCACAATGAGAAGTATCATTGTTTACAAATTATTATTACAGTTTTCCCCACTGGATAGTTGTAGTTAAAGGATCATGAAATATATTGTATCGGGTCGTTTTATAAATAAAAAAATAGCAAGGTCCGTTTAACATTTAT